TGTGCAATAGGCCTTTTTCACACTTCCTGGTTCCGGTAAGCTAAGCAGTGTAACACAACATCCGGTTTCAATGCGACAGAGCAAGAAAGAATGGCAGGGTCATCTCATTGCTGTGATTGCTGCGTTCCCAGCTGCTCCAACTCAAAAACGAAACTCTTATGACCACAATCTCCAGAAAGACAAAGGACAGGGAAAATCATGGATGACAATATTAAAGGGGTTGAATGCCGTTTCAAGTTATATGCGGGAGTACATTCTTACGCTGTATGCACTTTAAAGCGGAGATTATTATGTTTCATTAAAAACTGGTGGTCTATGGTTTATTTTGATGAGTAATTATAATATAGACAAAACTCCAGTTAAGCTATCTGCCTTCCACAAACAAGTGCTCATCATGGTCATTAATCTATAGGCATGATTTATCCCTACATTGTTGTTATTTTGGAATAATAGACAGTTCATACAAATGCCAATCTCTTTTTCTTAATTGGTTTGACAGCAAAATTATTTGTTTAGTCAGTTATATAATAAAGATAGTATACTTTTCTTACAATGAAGTCCTTTATTAGAAAATCTCAATAACCCAGCAAGTTTTCAACTGTTATTGGTTTAATTCCTGCAGAGACATGTTATTCATTCATGTTATTTAGAGGTATTAATAAGACCATCCTTCTGATGCATCGTCTTTTGATATTACTAAATCTTATGTCGGCATATTTTGTTTTACTAAATACCAAGAGTAATGATAGAGCTATTCATACTCTTTTCCAAAAAGAAATCATTACTGTACCTTATATTCAATTTTATTATATGTCTTTATTAAAGGGTGAATTGAAGAAAAGTGTGGCTGTTACCACAGAAATATCATGTTTGAAATAGAATTAAAGAAATGTCCTATAAACTCATCCACAGGTTTTATCCAGGAAAAAATTGTTTGCAAAAATTTAAAAGTGGGATTGATGTAAATTGTATTTTTGTAACGAATATGAGGAGACAGTTTTACACTTATTTTGGCATTGTACATAGTCAGCTTATGGGGTGAGTTGCAAAATGTATTAATAACGATTCTTTTGTGTTCAAAACCTCTTTCATTATGGATAAATGTACAATTGGGCTTTACTTGATTATCCTAATCTAGAGGAAAATAGTTTTATTTATTTAATTTGCTTATGTTGTTAACAAAATTGTACATTCATAAATGTAAATTTACTAATATGAAACCAGATTTTAAGTTATTGATGACTGAAATATGCTTGTATAATACCAGTATCAACTCTCTAAACAAGAAACTCGACCCACTTTAAAATGTGTGAACTCTACAATGTATTTCATTATTACATATGTTATATTACATTTTGTATATTTGTATTTTATTTATAATTACCCCCTGGTAAGTACATTTTTGTATTGTAAAATGTTATTTGCTGTTCTTTAAATAAATAATAAAAATGAATATTATCCACGAGTAGGAGCTAACGTGTTTCCAGACTTGAGAAAACCTCACGAGCATTAAACAACCTGTAATGTATTAACCGATAGCAACTCGCCTGTACAGCTACCTCGCCATTCACTATATCTGACTCTGAATAAAAAAGAAAGGAGGGGGTTAGCACAGTTTACAGACGGGACTACTGACATAAAACTCATCCTGCTGGATGTTAAATAGCCAGGTTAATCTAGTTTACGAATGGCTTGAATGAGCAGCTCTTATGCTGTTGGCTGTGCACCTTACTGGAACCTGACGTTGCAAACGATGTGTAAGACACGTTTTCTGCACAAACTCTGCAAATCGGTATCATCTTTTAAATGCTGTTTTATTAAGGCAGTTTTACACATTCACCGAACAACATCTTCCTGTCCAAATTATGGCAAAGTTGACCGTGAGAAAGACATCCGCTGTCCCGAGGCTGTCATGTCTCTGCGACTCCTAGCGAACCCGGAAATATCGATACACTGCTTCGAAGGGCGCTTCCGGTGTGGAAGGTCTATACCAGGGGTCACCAATCCTGGTCCTGGAGGGCCGGTGTCCCTGCAGGATTTAGCTCCAACTTACCTCAACACACCTGCCTGGATGTTTCAAGTATACCTAGTAAGACCTTGATTAGCTTGTTCAGGTGTGTTTGATTAGGGTTGGAGCTAAAATCTGCAGGACACCGGCCCTCCAGGAACAAGTTTGGTGACCACTGGTCTATACCACTGATTTCCTATCCGATCTGATATTAAGTCAAATGAAGGCAAGCATCGGCAATACCGATCCGATTCCGATACTGCCCAAAAATGACTGTTTAGGAAATTAAAGTAACAAGTAGTGTACTTAAAAGTGTCACTTTATACTGAATACGAGCCACATTACGGGTTATTCTTGTTTATTGTTTATTGATGAAGAATTATCATACAAAAAAGCGACCTTACATTTTTATTGACAGCATCTGAGCATCTTAAAACGCCTGCCTGAACATCTTAAAACAACATTCACACCTCTACATTTAGTGGCATGTTAATCCAGTTCCCATGACATAGACCCTTCAATAAGCCCCGCCCTCCTTAGTTATTGTTGCTACGCCTGTCAAGCTTTCGTGCCTGGCAAGGCTTTTTCGATGTGTGTGTGCCGGTTTCAGACATTGCCAGAGATTTAATGTCATTTTTGGCGAACAGGTGAGATATCCGAGAAAGCTGGAGAAAAAAGGACTGCAGTATGCATTACAGGAGTATATTCACCATAGGCAACCGATTAGAGAATAAATCAATCAAAATTGAAGCTAGCTTAGCCTAGCCCCCTCATATGCTAACCATTCAACAGCTTAGCTCATGCTCGGCAGGAGAGGTGACGTTTAAAAATAATCTAATAATAACAAATGAAACCGTAATTTCTCTATTTTTAGCCAAAAAGCCAAATAGATTAATTGGTGTACAATGGAATATAGCCTTACTAACCGACAAGAAAACACGCATGACAGTGCTTTTACATTTCATTCATAGAAAGAACAGCCAGAAAGGGAAACTGACACATAACAATGTACAGTTAGTTACCTATTACTGTCCATATGTTTGTGTGCTCTTTACGAATGACTGAAAAACAGCTGGGGGTAATCGCAGCTGCTCAGTTTGTGATCATATCTCGGCTTTGTTCTGTTGATTTGTAATTTTAAATGTTCGTAGCTTGAAATATATGGAAATATTAAGTTCAGTCAAGTTCGCAACAGATTCGCAGATTTGTATTTTCTGGATCAATAACTCATGTCATTTTGATCTATTCGCTATTAGTATGACTACGTTACTAACGTTATGGCGAAGGCTTAAACGGAGCATTACTCATAATATCGAGCGAAAAAAAAGGAATAAGACAGCTGTGAAACATAACCTGCTTTGTGTTTTTGTAGGAAACACAGTTTAGATCTGTTTAGGGTAAAAGGTTGTGTGAGTTATTGCCGCCTGTCTATCACTGAATGTGTCAGGAGTATCAAAACAAAACCAACTTAGCTCCGCTCCTTTAGCGCTCCTCACACAGTTTGATCCACGCTGGCATTTCTCCTCTTGGGGTTTAGGTTTTGAAAGGGGAAAAAACTTTAAGGAGACCGGGTATCAGATTTGTACTATCCATTTGAACTCACTCGAAAGCTTGACAGAGCCCCTGCGTGTAGCTACAGTTGCTAAGCCACGATTGGTGGATGGCGGTTTTTGGGCGTGGCTTAGCGAAGGGTCAATTGTTTTGAACCTTTTTTCGTTATTTTATCATAGTCACAAAAAAAACCAAGACCCCTAATACAACCACATCGCCGCATTTTCTACCTCTGTACCTGCGCAGTGCCTGCCTGCTGCACCAAAGGACTGTGAAAGCACTGTCTGTCTCGCCTTAGCAGCACCTGTGCCTCTCCTTTCCTCCTCTTCAGACCGCCTAGTCATGACAATGTCATATTCTGTCTTGTGATTTCTATGTAGATGTTTGATTAGGTTTGTAGTATTACCACAGTACCTCACTGTCTTAAAAAACATGTGCCAGGTCAGCGGACTGAGTGGCTAGCTAGCGTGGTCTGCAGTTGTATAGTGCCATATTACGCACATGACTTTGCAGGCGGAAGAACAAGTAGTCCGACTAAGTTGGCATTATTCAGAGAAACTAGGGTAATTGTGGGTACTTTCTCCTGTATTTCTACTTCCAATAAAATACATATTTGCTCCAAATTATTGAAATATCGATATTTTTATAAGATAATCAATTCTAGAACATACAAAGCTGGTATCGGAGATATCAATATTTTAGTATCGATCCGCACATCACTAGTTCAGGTGTGTTTGATATGGGTAGCAACTGAAATCTGCAGGAAGGTGGCTCTCCAGGAACAGGGTTGTCCACCCCTGTTCTAGACCACGTTTGCAGTTTTTTTTTTTACACTTTTTACCCGCGTTAACAATGTGCAATGTACTGTGGGCAATATCAGCGGTTAGAGTATGGACGGTTCTACACTTCAAACTTTTACCGGAAATAGTAAACCATCCGGGAACCTTTGGCATACCCTTTTCAACATACTATGATTTAGGACACACTAATTATGTTTTTTTTTTCAAAATATTATTTAGGACGGATAAACTGCAAATCGAGACGCAGCATTGGTCTTTATCAAGTTTATTTTACCACATATTTGTTAAAGAGAGCATCAACATGCATAATATCAAATATCCCCCTCAGTGTTAGTTAAAATGAAGAGAAAAACTATAAATATATAAACGGCTTGCCATATGCATAACCTTGATATTGGGTTATCTGGAGGTACCCTGCCAGTGCACTTCACTTGAGCCTATCGCAAAGAGGTCACTCGCAGACACACTAAAGACAGATACAGATCGTACATACGCACCTGTTCTCTCAGTTCAGCGCAATATTAACAGGCATCCGAAAGCGCGCGACAGGCAGGCACAAAGGGGAGCGCGCGGAGGAAAAAGAGAGCACCTGTGCGACGTCACTCCGCCCTACTTTACTCAGAACTCCACGAGCCGTCTGTACTTCCTCAAACGGCTCAATCACAGAAGAAAGCAGGCGCTGCAGAGAAAAATTCCGTTTCTTCTGAAGGAGAGGTAAGCAGTTACATGGCACTTCCGATGCCAATGTTTTTTAGTTGTTACAGAACTTTTATAATGTCTCGTTTTAAAGAGTTTGACTCTTTTTCTTCGTCGTTTTTCCCCCGATTGATGCGCTGAACAGATTCGAGCGCAGTGCAAGTACAACGGTTTGTTTGTTTTTCAGAGTTGGACTCTTTCCCACTTGAAAGTTTTCTATGGATTTGTGTTTTTCAGGATATATTTAGGCTCATAGAATGATATGAAAAGTCAGTGTACACAGCAGACAACACTCGTGTTTAGCTGCTGTCTACTGGACCTTGACAGAGTCAGTTGTTTCTCACGTTATCGTGCTAGACGACACTTCATGGTTGTAAAAGAGAAAAAAGTTGTGTGACTCAAACCCTGGTGACCTACCTAGCAGCATTTTATACATGTCAGACAAGTTCTGTGCTGTTAGCCTGTTAATATCCTTAAATCATCATCATCATCATCATCTACTCCTGTGATGGATTTTGGCTACAATAACGTTAGCTGGTTTGTAACAAAACGTAAATAGATGTTCAATATTATAAAAAATGTTATATCAAACTAGTCACTTTGTTTTAAGGTCAGTTATATGCTGTTGTTAATGGTCTAAGTATCCTCAATTGCTGACATTGAAGGGATCTAAAATACCACTGACACGCTCCACAAAATATCAGTGATTATTGATCTATACAAAACAGATGGAGCGTGGTTTACATGACTAAGCGCGCGCTTGTGTGTGTGTAGTGGAGAATGGTCGTCACATTGTGCTGTGATTATGTGCTGTTTTCAGTTGTTGGTGGTTTGAAGGCATATTTTGGTTAATTTTCATCAATATTAAGCCTTTATTATTATTATTACACTAGCGTGTTTAGGCTGATCTGTTGATTGCAGTGGAGACACACATCCTGCTCTGTGGTTGAACAGTTTACACATACCACTCTTTCATTTTGTTCTTGAGTGTCGATAGTTCCTTCCTGCCCTGTACATTAGAGAGTGTATGTGTGACTTTGGACATGAGTGATGAAATCTGCTTCTCAAAGTTGCCTTGAACAAACCGTAGGATCAAATGATTATTTTTTGCACATTTTTTAAACAACTGGTTAAAGTGTGTTTTTGTATTAAGAATTTCTTCAGATAGTAGTGGCAGTTAATACACTTGTGTTTGCGCTAGTGCCCTGTGACAGATCGTTCTATGCCTGTCAGAAAAAAGTAGGTTGCATATGGACAGTGTTCACAAATAGGGCTGGTCCTGTGTTAAACTGTTGTTTATTTTAATGATGACTATTTTTAGAATTTCAATAAAGACATTTATTTTAAAATAATTCTGTAATTGTTTATTTTTAGAAAACGCAAGTATATTTTTGTTTGTGTGCTGTATATTTGCTGTCGATGACAATTCTTCAGAATATTATATTTTATGTTGTATATCATTAGTATGCTATAAAAAAATCGAACATTAGCTTGTATTAAAATATATATCATTATTAGTCAATATGGAAAAGAATTATCGAGATTGTATTTTTGCCATATCCCCCAGCCCTATTCACAAATGTCCATGAACATTTCTGTTGTTGAAAGCTCTGTCACCATCGTAGAATGTGGATGATTAAGCTATACTCCTCACCTAAACTCAGGGTTAATGTCCTTACTTACTTATTTGTTCTATTGTTGTCACTGATTGCATGAGCAGCACTCTAGAGTTGTGCATTCTCATATTATAAACTGCTCTGGACTATATTCCTGAATGTACTTTTTGGGAGTATGAAGTTAAGATTCAATTCATGTTTGTTGCTTTATATAGCGCTTTCACAATGTAGATTATGTCAAAGCAGCTAAACATAGAAGTTCTAGTAAATTAAAACTGTGTGAGTTAGTTTTTAGAGTTGAAGTTCAATTCAGTTTGGTTTAATTTTCACTGCTGAAAGTCTGAACACTGAAGAGCAAATCCATTTCATGTGCAGCTCCACAAGTCCCAAACCATCCAAGCCAGTGGCGACAGTGGTAAAAAACTAACTTTACCAATTGACGAAAGTGAAGAGAAAAAAAAACTGAGCCTGAGAAACCAGGCTCGGTTGGGCATGACAAATTCTCCTCTGGCCAAACTTCTTGTGCAGAACTGCAATCTAGTGCCGGAAGCTGGAGAACAACAAAATCTCTTCACATATCAGGTCTCACACCATGCTTAACTTTTTGTTAAACCCTAGTAAAATTAATGCTTCACATTTTTGCTCTTTTTGTTTTTGTACTCTGCAATTCCTTTTAGTGCTGGGTTGCAACTTAAAGGGCATTTGCCACATAAAATATATGCCAGAATAATAGGTGGTTTATTCCGCTGTGGTGACTCCTGATAAATCAGGGAGTAAGCCAAAGGACAGTGAGTGAATGCTGTACTTCAGTGTCAATCGTGTAAACAAATATATGCATGACTATATGTGGTGTTAGAATGTTAGCTATTTACACCGAAACGAATGTCAATCACTCCACGTTTCTTTTGTTTTATGTTTCAAGAAGGTTTTGTATGTGGTTAATGACTTACACTTGGTTTGTAGATGGTTGTCAAATGAGGCCATCATCTATGATCTAAAATCTTCACTCGAAATTTGTAGAACATATCAGCCTTAGGGTTGTCGATGAGCAAATTTAACCACGGGTTATTCGACATGTAACAACACCGGTAATACCGGTATCACCGTGCAGGTGGGGGGTTCCTCTTTTCTTTCTTTTAAATAGCTTATAAATGCGTGCGTATAATACTTTCACTTTCATTTTTGCTGCAATTGTTTGAATGAACGAATGTGATGAATGTTAGAATGTTTTTAAAATAAATAATAAAATACAATAGAAAGATAAATAATTAAATTGCACAAAGTTTAAATAAGAATAAACGAATGAACAAGAAATAAATATAAAAGAAAAACTTTCAAAGTGACATTACAAAAATGACAGGTCGAAACAGTCTTTAAAAAAAATAAACAAAAACGCTATAAATTGGCATTCATTAACAGTGCAGTTTACATGCTCTTTGCCAGGAATCCTGGCCAATATGTTGACCATCTCTGGCTTAAGATGGGATCTTGTGGGGCTCATTATGTTCCCCATAGTGCTGAACACACTATGATGATCACTCAGATGCGCAGCTTGTTGCGCACACGCAAAGATACTTTTTTGTTACATTTGCCAACAGAGGGAACATATTGGTTTTCTTTTGTTGTGCTACCTGACTTCAATTTCTTACTGTATTAATTAGTCTAATGCATTATATATTAATAGATTAGTCATTATAAACAATCTTTTATAAAATACATTATTAATGAATCTATAGGCTATTGAAGAATAAACTGAATATGAAATATGATCCTTGCATAATGATCACAACTAAACAAGCTAGCACTCATTTTATATATAAACTTTAAATAAAAAAATGAAAGAAATGTTAAGAAATGAAACATTATGTAAAAAATCTAAAGACTACAGGCTCAGTTTACAGCTTCTGTAAAGATCAGACAGCCTAAACAGATCACACAATCTCAATAAACAACATGTAAATGTATAAATATTTTGATAAGTATTGTTATGGAATATTTATAACTATATGATCTTGCTTTTTTGGTTGTATCGATACCAGCTTTGAGCTCGCTCTTACAAGGGGCAGTTGACAGGCGCTGCATAGGTGTCTTATGCCACTGTCAGTGGCGGATTACACACAGCATACCCTGGCAAGATGTTTTGTTTGTTGCCGATTTGCGTGTTGTTCCTTTTATAAAATAGCTTTAAGTTAATGTTGTCTATCGAGTAATATAATCTCCCTCAGAGATATTAGAGTTCAGTAATGTGGTGCGCAATATATAACCGTTAAGGTACGGTTTTTAAAGAGAGCGGCCTCTGTGATAAAAGACGCGCACACAGGTTACACTCTTGTAGGCCTATCCATTTTTTATATATATTTTTTACATAAAACGCATAGTAAAGTGCAAAAAAGAAGAGCTGAACTTCGGAAAAAGTGCTCACTGCGGTTGCCGCGATGGTTGCTTTGTTTCTCTGCAGTTAGCTTGTCAATGGCGCGGCATTGCTAAATCACTCTTGTTTTAATAAAAAATAAAATATTTATTATTAAACATTTGTGAGATGATGGTCGCATGATTTTTAAAATGAAAGTATGCCTTGTGTTCATGTTTTCGTCGCAAGTAAATTATTACGAATTATATTTTCCATTTAATTCAAATAAATATTTAATAAAAAAAATGGTGGGGATGGTGTCACAATGGAAAAATGATGTAACCGGTATCACCATCAACACCATCTATCGTGGCAAGCCTAATCAGCCTTCTTCAAAAAAGCTGCACCATTTGAAGAAAATCAGTGTGAGACCAGTTTCAAGCTTTGCTGTAGTCCACTGATGAAAATTGTAGTGTCATCCACTCTTTGTAATGTTTCAAACCTTTATGTATGACTTTATTTTCTTCTGTGGAACAGAACTTTCTTCTGTTGGTAATCAGTTAGTTTCATTTCCCATTGTATGGGCATGAATTTCAATTAATGAGAATGAAAAAGGTTGTATTAACATTAACATGTTGACTTCTGTGGTTGGCAGATGTTCAGTTTGGTTTGAAATAAGGCTGCACAAAATTTGACAAAAACAAAGATTGTAATATATATATATATTTTTTTTACGATATATATTGCGATTTATTGAGTAAGGGTGTAATGGATCATGGTTGATCTGTAATTAGTATGGATCACAACCCATGGTTCCGAACACATGTGATTAATACTTTTTTCACTGGTAGATTATCCTAAATTTTTAACGATCGCAGAGAGATCGCCTCTTGCATCATTCAAATCACATGTATAAAAGCATTAAGGCGTTCCTGTGATATATAATGATGGAAGCAGTTGTGGTGGATTATTCGGGATGTATTGGGTTTCTTAGAAGGTTATTAATTTGTGGGTTATTAAAGGTGTTTTCTGTGACTACATGTTTAGCCTGCATTAATGCATTCAGTCAAAGTCCCTTCAACGCAAGTTATTTCACTCAGTGACCATCTTTGAAACTCCTCTTGGTCAGTATGCATGGGCATTCCGTTTGAGTGGGGAAACATTAAATTCTTGTCGGCTTAGTTCCTTTACCAATCCGGGGTCGCCACAGCGGAATAAACCGCCAACTCCAGCAAGTTTCCACGCAGCGGATGCCCTTCCAGCCACAACCCATCTCTGGGAAACATACACCCACACACTACAGACAATTTAGCCTACCCGATTCACCTGTACCACATGTCTTTGGACTGTGGGGGAAACTGGAGCACCCAGAGGAAACCCACGCGAATGCAGGGAGAACATGCAAACTCCACAAAGAAACCCCAACTGAGCCGACCTTCTTGCTGTGAGGCGAACGTGCTACCCACTGCGCGACTGCGTCGCCATATTACATATTATGAATAACTAATAAAATTAAACCACAATTGAAAGTATGTGCCGAATTCTGATATTTTCTTACAGTAGTAGTTATATACTATAGTTTAGTTTCATTTCTAAATGTTTGTATCAAACAAAATTAGCAGAAACTCGCGTCTAGTCCAAGCCCATCCCCCAGAGATTTGTCATTCTATACCGATCGCTGATTGGCTCCTGTACTAGAAAGTGGGTTTTATTTGCCATATAGTAATCCCTGATTGGCTCCTGTACTGGAAGGCGGGGCTTCACTCGCCATATTGACTGTTACACTTTTCCCCGTTAAAAAGCATGTGATAAGTCTTGTGTATTCTGTAGTCTTTGATTCAGTGTAAGCTGTACGATTAATCATTAAAAGATCAGGATCCCAACACCTTGTAACATAAATTATAAATGATGGGGATTTGCATATGTTTATTAATCCTTTGAATTGCTGCATTCAAATCTGTGTTTGAAAACCGCAAAAATCAAGAAAGAGTTTCAGTCTTTAGTTTACAAATAGTCAAATAACACAGACGTACTGGGATAACAGTTCATAGTTTAGATATAACCACTGATGGTTATGGTAATGATTAAATTCACTGTCCTGTGCATTTAACTTGACACTCAAAAATGAAAGTTGTAGGCAGCAAATACATTATGTAACCAATAGGTGGCCACTGAATAATTCTTCAAAAATGATACATCTAGCAATGAAACATGCAGTTTTAAGAGTGAATAATTGAATAATTTATTAAAAATTAGACTACAAACAAATATGGGTTGTACAAATTATATTGTTAGATTTATAAATTTAGCGCTATCAACAATAGTAGTAGTAATATTTAGTAGTTCTGAATATTTTACAATTTATTTTTGATTTAGCTGATTATTTCTTCATTTTATTTTTAATAACATTAGTTTCAAAGTTCAGTTTGTTAAAACCAAAAGTTTCTTCCAGTACTGTTTTTGTAATGAATGGAAAACAAAATTACATTTGTCTCCTCCCCTTTTTGGCTGATCCGAAAAATGGTCCGATCCATGATTAAAAAACTGTTATGTGATCTGAACCGTGAAATTTGTGATTGTTACACTATTATTATTTAGTAAAATTTCACCAGATTCAATTAATTTGGATGATTTTACAAGTGAGAGCATCTTATAGCATATTGCAATGCTAAAACTATATATTGTGCAACCCTGACATGATAGTGAGTAGATGTAAATATATTTTTAAAATACAGTCTTACCTATCCCATTAAGTTTCATACTTGGGATTAGTGGTTTGCTAAAGTTCCTAGTATGTGCAATAACAGTAGTGATGCTTGCCTAATAAAGCCATGAACACACAAACAAACACTTACGCCCTTATGATTGAGTTTCAGCACCTATTATGAGCTATCATAAGGCTTAAGAGTGCAAAAACACTCTTAACACCTAAAATTTTTAATGTGCAAATTATTTTTAGAAAAGCACATGGAGCTTGTTAACCACACCTGCCTACCCAACATCACACCCTCGATATCTCTCATACAGTAGCTTGTGTTCTCGTTTTCACACTTGTACTAACTGGCTAAAGGTAGTTGAAGAATTAGGCATAAACAGGATTGTGTGTGTGTGATCATCTTTGTAAGTGAGACTCGTGTCATGGATTTTCAAAGTCGATTTTGTACTGTGCTGCAAGCTTGTTATTGACAGATTTCCACACTACTAATTCACTATGGCTCTTACATGCACATATACATAAGAATTAGTTGCAGCAACTTGCTTGAATGTTTCTGTTCTTGTTTCGACATGCGCACTTCGTAATTAAAACCACAGCAGAGAAGTGCATGCATGGGTGTGTTCAAAATGTCTCTCTCCTTGCCTTTCTTCTTCTGCACACTGTGTAGTAATACAGTATAAAGTTCACTGCAGCAACTGGCTGGGTTGCAGTAACAGCCAGAGTCATCTCATTGGCTTTTAACAGAAGTGGGGGTGGAGTCTTGATGTTATACAAGACTGATCAATTTTGGCCTTAATTATTACCATAACCTATAAACCTCATATGGGTCATGTTCCAAATGTTCGGATCAACGATAATAAAGTACAATAATGCTATAAAACACTGATGATTGATGGAAATGTTTTACAGATGATGTTATAGGAGCTCTTTTTTTAACTTAATGCTGTTGCGTGACAGTTAAACCAAGAAACATATACTCACTCTTTATTAGCTGTTTGAAGATAGTATTTCAGATAGCAGTGCTTCACCTTTATTTCTAAAATGGGTTTTCATAAGTGTGTGCTTAATAGAAACTCAAATTACCTATTCAAAGTAAAGAAAGTAATATACTTTTACTCTTAAATTATGGAGATACTAATGATAAAACTTTAGTTTTGAGGGTCTTCGTTATGCCACTTCTAAAGAATCTGTTAGAAACTTTTTAAATTTTTTTTATTTCAAGGTCACTGTCAGTCTGATCATTATCTCACATTGCTTTATGTACCAAAATGAGACCAGTGAAGCGGCAGAAAAGCCACTGCTCTTAAGAATGCAGCAAAGCGTTTACTCTCATTTACATCTGAAGGGGGCGTTTACATAGAAACCTTAAAGGCACAGCAGTGAAAACGGCTGCTTTAATGCTACAAGTCAAAATGAGGGTGGATGATTATTTTTGTTTTGGTTTTATTACAAAACTTAAAGGGCTGGTTCACCCAAAAATGTAGTACTTTGGAAGTTGTCTGTGTTTTTTATTAATATAGATACAAATGATAAAATATTTAGCTGGAAAGTTGACATTCATGGATTCAAACAGGGTTGGAACAAGTGAGCAAATCATGACAGAAGTTTTAAATATCTTTAAATAGGGATTTATAAAGCTGTTCGATTTAATGATACAACTGACATAGCAGTTCACCAAAATTAATAATGAGACTAATCAGTTTCCTCTGAAAGCTAATTTATAGCCTACTATCTGACTAAATCTAGTTTTGGTATTATGATTTTATTAGTCATAAGCTGAAGCTTTTATATCCTGTAATGATGATGCTCTTGCTTTTTACTCAACATATCTTAAAGTTAAAGATTTTTGGTTGTCTGTGTCTTTTTTAGGCTCTGCCTGAGGGGTTGCCATGGCCCCTTTCCTGAGAATTGCATTTAATGCCTATGATCTTGGCACATTCTCGCCAATGGCTGAGGCACCATTCTGTGCAGTCAAAATGAAGGAAGCTCTCAGCACTGGTGAGTAAATATGTGTGTGTGTGTCTTTTGTAACAGGGGTTTCAAGTGCATGGCTATGTTTGGAATGGCATATTGCCATGCTTCTTGTGCTGTTTTTGCAGTGTAGTCTATGTACACAGAATAACATGCAAATCCTCCATCTGCATAGAACTGGATTACCTTCTTCGTTTTGCCAGATGAGAAACCGAGGAATGCTGCACGCCATATTCTTTCCCACATTACAGTGCACCCTGATTTGACCTTCATGACCATGTGACTGAAAACGATATCACTTGCAGTGTTTCTTATCATGTTTATGGCTGATTAGTGCATGAAATAAAGTGTAGTTTTTGGCAGGCTACTTCTCATACTACATTTAGAAAGGACTAGTGTTTTGTTCAGAATATTTTCCAGTAGATCATGCCTGATAATAAAAACCCCTCTGCTTTTTTTTAAGAGAGAGGAAAAACCCTTGTCCAGAAGAAACCCACCATGTATCCTGCTTGGCGATCCAGTTTTGATGCGCATATTTTTGAAGGACGAGTCATACAAATACTACTCATGAGAACTGCAGAGGAACCTTTAGCAGACGTTACTGTTGGCGTATCTGTGTTGGCTGAAAGATGCAAGAAGGCAAACGGGCATGCAGAGTTTTGGGTATGTAATCATATGGTTATATTTGTGCATGTGACTTTTTGCACTGGTAATGTTATAAACTATTCTTTTTTAGGTTGATTTGCAGCCTTCAGGGAAGGTTATGATGTCTGTACAATTCTTTTTGGAGGATTCAGATACAGGTAAGACATGACTGTACTCGAACTAGCAGTGTTTCTAATAGAGAGTGTGTTTACCAGGGCTAGTTGTGTTTCCGTCAGTGTGTGTTGGTGCACATTTTGAAGCATGAGAAATGAGTGATGAAAATGCCAAATTCTGATTTAAAATATCTTAAATCACACACAAAAAAAAATGTACAACCCATAAACCCTACAACTACACAAGTCTTACTTTTTCTGACCACTGTGGCAGTCTTGTCCAACAAGGTCTACAAGGTGTGGATATTGGTGTATGGTAAAAGCTCCATATTTAAAGTGTAATTCAAGTAGTGAAAGTATAGATATGCTAATAAAATCTTTATGCAATAAAAGTGTTAATGGCTTTGGATTGCGTCCCTTAATAATCCCAAAAAAACTGTTCAGTGTGCTTTTTGTCAATTGATGTAAGAAGTAAGATCATAAGAATCTTCTTTCACAAAAAAAACTTTTTTTTACTCTTAATTGAGGTGATTTTGCCAAAAGGGTTCATGCAAAAATGGGTTAATGCAAATAACGTCATAATTGTGCCTAGTACGATGCGATCCTAGATTGACATCTATGTTGATAATGGAACATCATTTTGTTGGAAAATTTAATCCATACTTATTCCATAAACCTAACCAAAACTGTAATTGAAAATCAGAGGGGAGTAATAGTTGAATAACAATCATGTAGAAGTGCATAACCCTAACTGTAAGCCTCAACTTACACTATATAAACAGTAAACGTATCCCATAATTCTGATTGGCTGATTGGAATTTTGTTCCAGAATCAACATAGATGTTCATCGAGGAACATGTCCTACTTGGTGGAATCAGGTTAGGGATGGAAATGCATTTGCTGATTGAATTTGGATGTAGCGAGCCTTACATCTATGTGAATAATCAGCTGTATAAATTGTCCTTGCCTTGTTTACCCTTGGTTACTAGGGTAAAAAGATTTGCCTTATGTTTGGATAGAAACCCTGCTACTGACATGCTTGATCAGGCCTTGTAGTAGCTTTTTCCAGGGCAATGGCCTTTAAGGTTTTTATTGTGCTGCTTACCTTGGTTCAAAGTTTGTTGAGTGGTCATGACCAAAGGTGGAGTTTACTTCAGGGGTTTATGTTTTTTTTTTTACTTCATGTTTTTATAGTAGGCAGCTAGTTGACCTCAACATTGACATTTAAAACTGTCAGAAATATGCATTTGCCTAATATGACAGAGTTGCGATCGGATGGGAAAGGGTTCTGATTTTCATATGAGGCTGAGATGTTTTTGTAGATTTATCTTTTGCATTTGGGATGATACCCAATATGCTCATCAATGTAGAAGAGGTTGATTGAAGATATTAGGAAGTCTTGTATGACTTAAAATCATGTATTTCTTTGGTTTTATATTTCCTCTGTCTCTTTCTTTTGACTTTAATACATAATTTTGTATTTCCTGATTTATAAATGATATACTTTACTCATATGTTTACTATTATGTCTGAAGTCTGTATGCAAAGACCAAACTTTCACTTCGGTCAGGTTCATTTTGCAATTTAGCTAGTTTTCATTCAGCTTTCCCTTCCTTGGGTTGTATTACGTTGTTCAAAGGAGCAACTGTACAAGGCTACTGGTTTGACAATAGAAATGATGCTTGATTTTGGCCTTGCTGGCAAGACCCATGTTTTTTCATCCTATCCTGCCTGTTGTTATTGTTAGCTTGTTCTATAACAGTTGCACTACAGATGACCTGAGTTTGAGATTCCTAGTCTGTCTCCTTTCTCTCATACTAGGCTTTCAGTCTTGTCTACACATTCCCGTCACAGTCATTTTAAAACTATTATATAAGTACTAGATATAAAAGGAGGTATTAAGCATTCAACTTGAATTAGCATTTCAATAATGGGAGTTTCTCCAGTATCAGCCTTTAGCTCTTCTGAATGTACATTTTCCCATTTTACCTGCTTTAATGATAACCAGTTGCTGATAGTTGAGGGACGCGCCACTCTTATGTTCTTCCTCCTTCCTCTATTTTCCAAATCGTCCAAGCGTTCACCTCTTCACTTCTAGTGTCTGTAATTTACCCTTGACTGGGACAGCAGCATCTTTTACTGCGGAGATTAGGTTCTCAGTTTTGGTGATTCGTTTTTTATGGTCATCAAGTTTTTCGTTCTGTTGCTGCAATAGTTGAGAGAGTGGACTCAGCTTTTTATTAATTATTTTGGAAATGTTTCTGTGATTTTCGTGATAATCTGCTGCATGCCAGGTTCAGGAACACTGGTGTTCGCATCCAAAGTGATAGAAAGTAACCGTCAGAATGATGATAAGGCTGTGTCTCATTTGCTTAAGTTTTTTATTTATTCATTTAGTTTTATTAATGTTCCACTGAGGTATGACAATCGGTTGCTTCAAAAAGTATGCAACACAGAAGATAATGCGTTCCTGCATCAAAAATAATGATAATTGAATCTCAAAGCATGCACCGTCTGATAAGCATGAGCCAGTATAAGCTTCAGACAGTATGATAACCTTGGATAAAAATATCACAATATTGTGATGAATGCTGTAAAATATAGCATTTTACACAATATGCTTCCTTTCAGGAAACCTTAATAATATTTTGGAACAGTAAACATGTCAGGCTAAATAATTAAAATAAATCATTGACTGCTATCTTCATTAGTTTCAAAAGCATAGATTTCTTTATAACACATTAAAAAAATCTTACACAAAACACATACCTTAGGAATGATATAACAGAAAATTTTAGTGGTTTTAAAACCTTGACTTTTCCAAACCGCGGTATACCTTGAAACCGGTTATCGCCTCATGCCCACCGTCTGATAAATGTAACCATTCTTTAATCCGCCATCTTAGATCTTCTATATAACTCTGGTTATATGTCACTCTTATCTGATCCTGGTGTTTGGGTGTGTGTGAATCCATTTGGACTCGCTTAAATTTCTGTCACAGGAATGTCTGTGTTTAACGTGTCAGAACAGCTCATCCCTGCATTACCCTGTCTTCAAGCATGCTGTGAAGTCATGTTTAGCTTTAAGAATGCATAATGTTCTGCTTTTAACTATTCGATGATATTTACTCCTGCTATTAATTCATATAATGCATTCTTGCTGAATACCAGATAAAATAAACTTTAATTTTGAAAAGTTAAAAATAAAAACAAAATCCTCATTGCACTTGTTTCTTTTTTTTTAGTTAAATAGTTAAATTGATTGATTCTGTCCTGCTCTTCTACTTTCTTCTCTTTCAGGCTCAGTGTGTCGTCATTCAGTAGTGGCCAACGAAGAGATACCAACCCTCAACCGCCGTCGTGGAGCAATTAAACAGGCCAAAATTCACTTCATCAAAAACCATGAGTTCATTGCCACCTTCTTCAGACAGCCCACCTTCTGCTCCGTCTGCAGAGATTTTGTTTGGTCTGTCTCAAGTGATCAGTCATAAGTCATAAGTTGTTTACAACCCAGGCGTACTTATAATTTTGTCTTTCTTTTTTGACACTCAGGGGTCTCAACAAGCAAGGATATAAATGTAGACGTAAGTATATTGTGCAAAATTTCACCCACATATAACAATTCATACCTGTTTTAGTAAGTATGTACCCTGAAAGGGCAAATAATTGCTTTCTGTGTTTTAACTTGCAACACACACAATCTGTAAAGGCCCGAAAACACCTAAAAATACTGATTTTTTTTTCTCCAGAATGCAATGCAGCCATCCACAAGAAGTGTATTGATAAAATTATTGGAAGGTGCACTGGCACTGCAGCCAATAGTCGAGATACAATGGTATGTACTGTTACATTATTACATTTGCTATATATATTTTTAGATTTTAAAGACATCATTTGAAGATTGTGTGTCCCTGCAGTTTCAGAAGGAGCGTTTTAAGATTGATATGCCACATCGCTTTAAGACTAACAACTACATGAGTCCGACTTTTTGTGACCACTGCGGCAGTCTGCTGTGGGGTCTTGTCAAACAAGGCCTCAAATGTGAGGGTGAGTCTACCGTCTGTGGATATTTGTGCATGTTAAAAGTGCCATGTTAAAGTGGAACTGGATCATTTTCTGATGGTGTAAAAAATACACAATTCAAGTAGTAAAAATACAAGTATGCTAATAAAATCCAAATGCAGTAGAATTGTTATTGGATTTGGATTTCATCTCTTGAGAACAGTTGCAATTCTCAAACAAAATGGTATGATTTGTGAATTTATGTTTGAGATTAACTGATAAGAATCAGAGGTGATAATTTTTCCTGCTCAAAACAATGAAGAACAACAGGTTATTATGAATTATGATATTATTCTCTTGGATGTAAACGGCTACTAACTGCGCATTAACTGTTTATACAGTTGGGTAGTATTAGTAATATTTAGATAGCCAAAGCCATTTTTGTCATGTGATGTACAGCAATTTATAATGTTGGATGTGGGCTGATGTTTGTAATGGTTTCTTCTCTTTCAGACTGTTCCATGAATGTCCATCATAAATGCCAGACTAAAGTGGCTAACCTGTGTGGCATCAACCAGAAACTGCTGGCAGAAGCTCTTACTCAAGTCTCAACTGTATGTGTGGTTGTTTGCCCAAGAACAAGTTATGAGAAACTTGATTCAAATGCTACAACATGACCACATTAAAATACTGAAATAATGTTTGTATGTTTGTGTTGTCCTAGAAATCATCCACCAAGCGACCTGACAACAACACACAGGATGTTGGTGTTTACCAGGATTTTAATAAAAGCCCAGGACCTGATGTTACTGGTGAGTCTGATTGTGTGTTGTTTAAATGTCAGAATTCAAAACGAGATTCTTAATTGAAAGCAATTTGTTATTTTCAGATGGGACTCCTTATGGTCATATATGGGAAGGTTCAAGTCCTCGTCCTCCATCTCGAATCACCCACCAAACACGTATTACTGCTGAGCATTTCATTTTCCATAAAGTCCTGGGGAAGGGAAGCTTTGGCAAGGTTACAAAAATTCTCAAATTTAGTCAAACACAATTAAATCAATGTGTGCTTAAGGTGTCACACGAATACATGGTGTCTCTGTTTGTCAGGTGCTGTTGGCTGAGCTGAAAGGCACTGGTGAATGGTTTGCAGTGAAGGCACTGAAGAAAGACGTGGTGCTGATGGATGATGATGTGGAGTGCACCATGGTGGAGAAACGTGTGCTTGCTCTTGCCTGGGACAATCCCTTTCTGACACACCTCTACTCTACATTTCAGACCAAGGTATACCAAATACACAGTTACACAAACGAAACCACCAGAAGAAAAGCAAACTCCAGTCTTTTTACACTTTAAAATCCACATTATAATGACTTTCTAACAAAATTCCAGTTCATCTACAGCAGGGCTGGCCAATCCTGTTCCTGGAGAGCTACCTTCCTGCAGATTTCAGTTGCTACCCATATCAAACACACCTGAACCAATTAATTAGGACCTGAACACCACGTGATAATTACAGGCAGGTGTGTTTGATATGGGTTGCAACTGAAATCTGCAGGAAGGTAGCTCTCCAGGAACAGGGTTGGCCATCCCTGATTTACAACATCTGTATTAAACAGGAAATATTGTGTTGTGTACAGATTAGACACAGGTGCTTGACATTAACTTTTCTGATCACCAGCCACAGTGGCTAGTAGATTTCCAACATTACTAGCCACTCGCCATTTTCACTAGCCACACTTTTGTTGTTGAGAAAATATATTTTATATCTTTAAATTTGAACAAGATGTTGTGTTGTCAACATGCCTTCTCATTCATTTCACTTTTTGTGTGTGTTGTGCATGAGCAGATTGGTTTTGTCGCATTGCAATTAGTTTTTTTTTCACATCACTTTTCAGGGCTCAAAAGGATTTACCAAATTTATCTCTGACCACACTAAAAAATAAATAAATTATTTTTTCTTATCCACAAATTTTAAATGCGTCAAAACAAGCAAAATGTAGCTGTATACATGCACTTTTTAATTCAACAACTGATCTTTAAACAAAATGACATTTAAAAAAAGAACCATTATGTATTTAAAATATGCACAGTAATCTGACCTGCCTAAAAGTCCCAGATAACCAGTTAACTACAAAAAAATGTGGGGTTAATCTCATATTAAAGCAATGTTATTGTAAAAAAAAAAAAAAAAAAAATATATATATATATATATATATATATATATATATATATATATATATATGTGTGTGTGTGTGTGTGTGTGTGTGTGTGTGTGTGTGTGTGTGTGATAATTAAACTATATTAACAAAAAATAACTAAGCAAAAGAAAGCAGATGAATTGAAACGTACTCTGAGTAATAATGAAAAGATGATCACCAGCACATGATTAATGTTAGGCCTGCTAATCTGTTCAAAGAATAATTAAAACGAAAGCAGTGACCGCTGTTGCTTACAAAAGGATATATTTTTTTATATTTTTGAGCTCTTGAAAGCAGCAAGACTGTGGGTGCACGATCATTGCTTTTTGTTCAGTCTGTTTAAAAAATATTGGGCCATCCTTATTTTCAAATCCTGCTTTTAATAAAACTACAATTTAAACATTATTTTCCACCAGCCGAAGTGGCTAGTGGGAGTGTCTGTCTAACCCGCATGTCTAATATGCTTGCATTTACCTGCATTTGGCAGGTTAGCGGGTGTTAATGTCAAGCCCTGATTAGAGATAACATTTAACAAATTTAAAATGCATAATTGTTTGTACCATAAAGCAGTTTATGCTATATATAAGAGTTTATATATTTACTCATTGATTCTAAACAGGGAAAGTAAATATTTCCAAGGCAAAATAGGCAGAGTCCTGAAGTCAGGCCTGCCTATTGTGTTATCAGCGCAGACCAATGGTTGTATAAAGGCGTTTCCCAGCTGAAGCAAGGCAGAATCCTGAAATGAACTTTACTTTGGTCTGCTTTTCTCAAGACAACATGAATGTAGTTTCAAAGCTAAACACAAGTATAGTTAGATTTTAATTGAATAAAAAGGCAATTTGTCAGGAATTTTCTAAGAAAGAGGCTAAAAAAGCTTTTATACCATGGAAATATCATTAGTTTAACACTTTAAGGGGATAGTTAACCCAAAAATGAAAACATACTTCCATTTTACTCCCCCTCACATTTTAAAGAATGTATATATTTTGAAGAATCAGTATCCATTATCTTTAATAGCGCTATGGCTTCCTGTTTCCAAAAATATGCTTTCTTGTTCCATAGAGGTTTGGAATCGCTTGAGCTTGATTAAATGTATGCTCATTTTTGAGTGAACTATCCCTTTAACCACAGCTTTTCATGGTCTACAGGGGGTCTCAATCTTTACAATACCAAACAGCAATGTATATTTGTATATACAGTAGGGATGCTCTGATCAGCATTTTTGCAGCCGATAAGGAGTACCGATTCCTTGTCATGGTGATCGGCCGATACAGAGTACCGATTCTGATGCTTCAAGCTTTATAATGCATAAAGCACATTTTCCCTCCAAGTATACTTAAGTGGAGATCTCCCCTTACCTAAGAGAATAAATGAAGGATGTTGTATATAATCCCTTAAAATGTTAATTATAACCATTTAGTGTGGACATGTCAGGATCAGAAGCACCTTTACAGAAAATAATAGTTAAAACTGATTTAAAAAATGGTAAGAAAATGACCAACAATGCAATTTAAGAACATTGCAAATATTGGAAGAAATTGTGTGTCAATCAAGAAAAGTTTGGAGCGCATATTTGATGCATAAAAAGTTAAAATGTACACCTATATACATATTTGTTTATTATTAAATATTCAAGTTTTAAAAACAAAATTACGTTTTTGTTTTTTTTAATTCTATTAAAATCGGTTCATAAGACAGGCCAGATTGTCAAGTACTGATCGAGTCATAAAATGTGATCAGAGCATTCCTAATATACAGTGTATATTGTTGTCGTGCACATTTGCTAACTGTTATAATACTTGCTTTATCTTAAACAGGAGCACTTATTCTTTGTGATGGAGTATCTGAATGGAGGTGATCTTATGTTTCACATACAGGAAAAAGGGCGTTTTGATCTGTACAGAGCCACGTATGTAACGCATGCATACAAAATATTTGTAATTACATAATACAAATATAGTTTCATAGCCCTTGATTTTTCTCAGCATATGTGGCAAATATAGCATCTGAATAATTGAATTCAACACTTCTCCTGCCAGGTTCTACGCCGCTGAAATAGTGTGTGGCTTGCAGTTTCTCCATTCCAAAGGCATTATTTACAGGTACAGACAACATTACACCATAGTTCAGTTCTGCGTTCATTAAATATTGCTCTATGGGAGAATTTAAGGTAACTCCTTAAAATAATGGCCCATCAGTTAATGTTAATTACCAAACAATTAATACATTTATTATGGTATTTGTCTTTGTTAACATTAGATAATGTTATTTCAGTTTAATAACGTTAGTCCATGTTAACTGACTGTGCATTAACCAATGTTAACAAGCATGACTTTAGATGTTAATAATGCATTGGTTAATGCTGAACTATGATTCATGCTTTACAAGATTGTTCATACTTTAGTTAATGTTAGTAAATACATGAATTAATTGACCATTATTACAAAGTGTTACAAAATTTAATGAATGATTTTCTAATAGAGAATAAAATGGGTAATTTGAGCTATTGTTTTGTTTTGTTTTTGTTTTTTTGGCAGGGATCTCAAGCTGGATAATGTGATGTTAGATGGAGATGGTCACATAAAAATAGCTGATTTTGGCATGTGCAAGGAGAATGTGTTTGGAGACAATCGGGCCACAACCTTCTGCGGAACTCCTGATTATATTGCTCCTGAGGTATAAATTGCTATTTCACAATAGCTGTGCTTCCATCCAGAGGTGATGGTTTCCAGACCAAAGTCCATATTCTTGCATAAAACATTTGTGAATAAAACACTGTTTCCTTCCCGTGTGTTCAAAACAATAAATTAGTAACTTCCTTGGAAACTAGTGTGATTTAATATCTGGTTAATAATGATAGTTTTTGCAAGCAGAGAAGCCACTTTAGCTCAAGTTTTTGTTCATAGTAAAGAAGCAGCAGACGACACACACTAATAAACTCTGCCATGTTATCTTATGTTTGGATCCAGCACCTGATATCAAAATGATTGTATAAGACAATATACAAAATCAATTTGAGGATGGAATTTTGCTCTGGTGTTTGCAGAAGTCTTAAAACATTTTCTTTACTGGTTATTCTAATTTTGCAGTCACGTCATCTGTTGAGGGAAATTTTACATGACTGTTTTTGAGGCTCATACTGAAATGTATTCAGTAAATGTGTTTCCATCATAGTTTATGCATATTTTCTCTTATTAAATAAAACATTTATCCTACTCCGCTGTGCGCAAAAGTATTATGCGCAATCTCTCCGCCAAAACTCCACAATGTACATTAAAGTAGGTGAATAGAAACATTGCTATTGTTTCACACTCAAATCATAGACTGCCTCGTCTTGACTTAATCTGTTTGTGTGTTGAAAACCCCCAGATTCTGCTCGGTCAGCAGTACTCGTTCTCAGTAGACTGGTGGTCTTTTGGTGTGCTCGTCTATGAGATGCTCATTGGTCAATCTCCATTCCACGGCGATGACGAGGACGAGCTGTTTGAATCGATCCGAATGGACACACCTCACTATCCTCGCTGGATCTTACTGGACACCAGAGACATGCTAGAAAGGGTATTTAAAATACATTATATAAATAATTAGAAATTCAAATGGGTGGTGCGGTGGGTCAGTGGTTAGCACTGTCGCCACACAGCAAGAAGATTTTTGGATCAGTTGTTGTTTCTCTGTGGAGTTGCATATTCTTCCTGTGTTCGTGTGGGTTTCCTCCGGGTGCTCTGGTTTCCCCCACAGTCCAAAGATGTGTTATAGGTGAATTGAATAAACTAAATTGGTCGTAGTGTATGAGTGTGTGTGAATGCGAGAGTGGAGAGTGTATGGTTGTTTCTTAGTACTGGGTTGCAGCTGGAAGGGCATCCTCTGCGCAAAACATATGCTGGAACAGTTGGTGGTTCATTCTGCTGTGGCAACCCCTAATAAATAAAAGGCACGAGCCAAAGGAAAATGAATCAGAAATTCAAATAAAATGTCTGCAGTTACATTTTTATTAATATTATTATTATTTATTTTTTTTTTTACATCTGTTCTCAGCTGTTTGAACGTGACCCATCACGCCGTTTAGGGATTGTGGGTAATATACGAGGCCATTCATTCTTCAAAACTGTCAACTGGGCTGCTCTAGAAGGGCGAGAAGTTGATCCTCCTTTCAAACCAAAAGTGGTATGCATTTTATTTTTTAACCTTTCATCTTGTTTCTCTTTTTTTGTGTCTGGTTGCTAGTTTTTCTGTTTGCTTCTGATTGCAGAAAGCTCCAAATGATTGCAGTAACTTTGACCGGGAGTTTTTGAGTGAGAAACCTCGTCTCTCACACTGTGAGAAAGGCCTGATCGATTCTATGGACCAGTGTGCTTTCGCCGGCTTCTCATTCATTAATCCCAAAATGGAGCATCTTATTACAAAGTGACACTTCTACAATGGGGTCAGAACGGAAACGATCTGTTATTTTCACGTGATCAAAGTACTGAGCCAGTTTATTGCTCACCACCAAACTAGCCATGAGCACTCCTCTCTAAAAAAGTATCTATGTCTAAACAGGCTGTCAGAACACCTTTATAACCTAATAAACATTGCAAACTTTCTAATGGTGTGCCAGAAAAAAAACTCAGCCTCGTTTCATTTTAGGATGCCCCAATCTCAGTGCAGTTTTTAACTTGTCCTTGCAAAGTTAGGATGTCTAAAAATAACTCTGCTGGGTTAGTACAAACTTGACAGCTGAATGCAGGGAGTGTGCTGGTAGTTCAGTTTGGGACAAGAGCAATTAAAAGAGTTGTACAAATACAAAATAGGTCAGAGATTATATAAAGGTATTGTTTAAATCAATATGTGCTTGCTAGTCATGGATTATGTTGTACATTTTTTCGGTGATCTGTGTTTGTGAGTATTAATTATGGTCGTGCAAAGGATTAAGCAGCATTTGTTGAATGTTTACTTTGTGAGTGTCGAATGAAAATATCTGTGTTTTAATTAGTTTGTGTATATCTGGTGCAGAAACATAGCCATCTTAGCTCTGAGAGTGTCATCCGTTTCCATGTTTTAGTGTGTATATTGTTGCATTGTTTTTATAAGATGTACTTATTAAGAGACTACATGAACAAACGTCATACAGGACTCTGTTTTAGGATGAGAAACTTCACAGTGTCTAATAAACATTTGATGGTGAAAAACACTGGACTGTGCTTATTATTATTTATGCACCGTAAAACCCAATGAGTTAGGACAACTCAAACCGTTTGAGAAAACCGATTATAACAAACCATTTAAGTTCAAAAACTAATCCTAATGAGTACTGTGAACTTAATCCATTTGAGTAAACGAAGCAATTTGAGCACAGTAAAACCCAATAAATGAAGAGAACTCAAACCATTGGAGGAAACCGATTGCTACAAACCATTTGAGTTAAACTAATCTATATGAGTACTGTGAACTTACTCCGTTTATGTTGATGTAATGAGATATTTAACTCTACCTTCAACATTGAGTTCAAAACTTTTTTCAAATGAGTAGAATAAACCTTCAGTCAATTTTAAGTTTACTACACTCATTTCATTTGATAAAGTTAACTTAGGTTTTACAGTATATTTACTGGTTTAGTTTTTTAGCATGTTCCCTACTTTCCATATTTCAATTGGTTAATTTTTACAGTTTAGTAAAAAAAAATTTGTACATTTTTGTGGGGAAAAACCCCTGAAATATTCAGATAATATGTAGAAAATAGTCATAATAATCATAGTTTTCTGGTACACAACATAAATGATAAATATTTTATATTTTAGTGTTCAGGGGTTATTATGTATTGAATCAATTATCTAATTAACTCATTAAAATTGTTTTTGCGGAAAGTTTATTATATTGTAATGTTAAAAAATCTAGCCGGAACTGGCCCGAGTGTATTTTGCTATCTGGGCAGCGTTTTAACTTTACCCCCCAAATTCGTGCTAATTTATTAATCGACAGCAAATTTTTACATTAATTGTAACTGTTCAATTGATCATTGACCAAAATTGGTTTTAAAGGTGATAAATGGTGTCGGAGCACCCTCTACAGATCAATGTTTACAAATGATGTTTAGTCATAGCAATATGTTATTAGTTGTTTTTAATAGTGATATTTAAGAAAAAGAAAATACATTTACGTGTATGTATGCTTGGTTATTTAAAAAACTAAAGATAAATAAAAAAAAATAGATAGACAATCAAACATGCAACCTACCATTTTTTTATCAAAAGTATCTTCACATATTTGTTGTTTTGTATTTGACCTAATTTATTCACATTATTTAATTGAAATATTGTAATTAATTATCTGGTTCAATTAATCAATTAAAGTATCCATGAGAATGTATCATATCAAAATGTGATGTTGCTCTGACCACAGTCATTTATAATGGATAGTTATTATATAATGATTTCGCCTAAACTTTGAGACACAAAGTTGTGGCTACATTGCCCTCTGGTGGCTGAAACTGAATTATATTTTATTATTTAGAGATTACATACAGGTTAGATACACAGACTCATTTACTATAATATGCCTAAAAAATAAGGCATATATGCAGAATAGAATTTAAACATACAAACTTAGTCAAAGTGAGAATCAAAGTTGCTATTTTTATATATATTTAAAAGAAAGCAATACAGGGACCATCATCCTTTACATAATAATAATAATAATTATTATTATTATCATTATTATTATTATTATATTCTACTCTACAATGCTTCATGGAAATCGCGTTGCTATGGTTACCAAAGTTATTGGCGTTCTAAAAAAGAATGCGTTCGAAAAGCGGTCGATGACGTTGAGCAGCAGTCAGTGTGAGCTGCAGTGAGAGTCTGACCATCGCGGTATGTGAAGATCTTTCTAAAAGTCTAATTTTAGCTTATTATATTTGGTTGTTTCGACGTGATTTGGCTGAAGGACACAAAAAAATTAGTATTTCTCTTTGTTTTATCGTTTCAGATCAATATGCTTGTTTTTTCACGTCTTTTTTCGGTTAGACTGTTGTACTGAATGTTGTTTAGAATTGTAGATGGCTACAGTATATCGTCAACTTGACAATTTTAGGATTTTGAATATATTTATATATTTTCTACTTTATTTATTGTTATCTTCAATATCTTATTTATAATCGTAGAATGCCATTTGTTTTGTTCTCAGGTTGGTAGACTGAGAGATACAATATTTGTTGTTTGTTTGTGTGCTTCATCTATATTGCTATCTTATTTAATATTTGCAGATTGTTTGTTATATTATCAGATAAATTAATTGATCTGTTATAATGTAATTGTATGCTGTCAGCTTTAACACATATTCCATATTACTGTTGTATTATTTATATGTAGTTTATGTTGTTGGCCTGTTCAACATTTGTAGATTTTAATTGTTTTATTGACAGTTTTACTAATTATTGTAACACATTTAACTATTAACTAAGTTTATAGATTGTCATCTTGTAGAGTATTTACTTATAGCTGCAAAATATTACTTATTAGTGTAAGAACAGAACCAGACAGGAGACAATGGTAGATGAAACATACAGAGAATGGTATTAAGATAAATGAAAGACTTGACATCTTTCTATTGTATTTTGCAGATTTTAATGGACCACATGGAGAAAAAGGGAATCACATATCTCAGCAATGACTGGAAATTGATGGTCAGGAATTTCTGGGGGGAAAAAACAGATGGTGCATCGATGGACAGCCTTCCAAGATGAAGGGGTGGTGTTTGGTATAGATCAGTGGTTCTCAAACCTTTTTGCTTGAGTAAGAATTTGTCTCTCCAGGTATCACCTAATGACTAGCATTGAAATATAGTAGCATAGTAGGCCTAATTAATCAGCTACAGCTCTGCACAGATCAAAACAAGGCACATTTATTCCTAAAATAATGTCAGCTACTTAAAACATAAATAGTTTAAATATTAACACTGTACTGTGCTTACATTTATATAAAAATGTCTTTAAGTTCATTCAAATCTGTACTGTTCGTAAAAAGTAAATAATAAATAAATAAAATGCTAAAGGTTAAGTATTACCATATAGTAGCCCATATTCATCGAAACCTGGAAATGTAGATCAGACCTCATAAATGAATTCGTCATTATATTCATATCACATAGAAACCATATGGGGGAGACCGGGGATAGTTGTACTTCTATTATATTTCTCTATATATCTTTGAGATCTCGAGTGTCTGCTATTAAATGGTAAATAAGTTATTTTTGCAGCAAAAACAGAAAATGTGAACACTTCTTAGTTTTAAACAGGAGTGAAATGTCACCATTCAGCGCACAGTCTGGGTTAGTTGTAACACACCCCATGGTGAGATGTAAATGATGATTTCCACTAGGGTGAGATGAAACATTATAAAATAAGAATTATGACCAAAAATGATTTGAAAACTTTTTATTTAACATTGAGCTTTCAGTATCATTGTGTGTGTGTGTGTCTGTGTTACAAAGCTGAATAAAATGTGCAAATGTGCATCAGCTTCAACTGTTGAACACTATTTGTGTGTGCAGGCTTAATGAGCCCACAAAGGTCAAACACTGAACTCAAACTACTTTGACTTCTTTCTCTTTTCAAGAGCAAGAGGGGTACTGAAATTACATCAGATAAATACAGTTTAAATCTGCTTGGGGTTGGTGGAGACATTTCACTGATGTTATTAGCAAGAGTTTTGTTGTTACAGCTGACCCAGCGTCTTATACTCATGAATCTATTCTCCTTACAGCTAAAACATTATCACCAACAATGTGGATTAAATATATCCACACACAGACACACACATTACATGAGTTTAACTACAAATCAGGCTGTGCTATCTCAAAAATAATTCACGTAAGAAATATTAATTTCTTAGCTCAAATGTAGTCTCTGTGTCTGTCCCGGGACGCTACATTTTCATGTGCTATGAAGGCCAAAAAGAGTCTGCGCAATGTGAATCAACCGATTTGTAGCTAGTTTATGGTTGTAGAGATTGGAAGTGTTACAACTATCCCTGCTCTTCCCTTAAAATCTAAACATGAACTTGTGTTTTAAATATGTGTATGTGTCAGAAAGTCAATGAGTGATAATAAATGCACTTTTTGACCAGTTCATATGCGATTTATCAATTCAATTTGTGCAGCATTTACCTGATTTGGTGGAATTGAGATCATATCTTCAGTAAACCGTGGAGTTTGCTTAAATCAGACCACTGTTTTCAGGCCGACTCATGTAAGGTTCACGGGTGCTCTGTCTGTGCACACAGAGACTAACTTTAATTTTTCTATTTCTCCAAGCTTTAAACATTGCAAATTTGTCTATGTTCTGCGGCCCGCACCATTTTTATTACATCCTGATTTATTTAAATCTGAGATACAAACTAAATCGAAGGCTACACTGGTTATTTACAAAACAAATGACTTTAGGCTACTGTGTATATTGAGATCACATTATTTTACACAACTACGAACACGCGTCAACATGTTAACAATGATGCAGAGTTTGCAGTAACTGAAATGCCAGCAGGACTGGTCTGCAAAAGCACTTCTCTGTAGCGTGTATCTGCTCGAGAGCTCCAGTCTTTTAGATTCTTAGCATCTGATGATGTGATGCACTAAACGTACTAATCACAATGGTGTGATCATACAATGCAGATCACATCGGTGTTATTGTGCACATCAAAGGGTAACAGAGTGTTTATAAATTCTTAATTGTTAATTAGTGATTTCTCCCCGTACCACTGGCTGTTTCTGTTTTTTTTTTTTTTTTTGCAGACTGAAGTGGAGCAGAAAAAAGAGACTCACAGGGGGAAGCAGTGGAGATATACTGGAAGACCTGGAGCTCAGCTAACAGGTAGAACTAATTGAACAGACTGAACAATGGAGTTAATTTCCAAAGAAGTGTATTGAGAATAATTAAAGACTTGACATCTTTCTCTTTGGCAGACTGGCATGGAGCATGTGGAGAAACAAGGAAACAGACCTCAGTAATGACAAGTACATGAAATAAATGAGGTACAGAAGTAAATTTTTTAAGTTGTATCAAGTCAGCTTTATCAAACATTTTATAACTATCCTGGTTAATTTTTACAGAGTGAGTGTCACAGAAGGGACGGGATTCAGGGCAGTAATATACACAATGTTTATTTACAGTATGGCAGGTAAGTATAAGCAGGTGAGTATATTGATGCAGATGAGAAGTTCATGAACATAAACTTGATATTTGACTGTGCAGTCTTGGAGACTGGAGACGGATACCACAGATGACAAACAGGATGAAGAACAGACGAGGAACCAGGAGATATCACACTAGGAGAGACATGAGGTGCGTCCCAAATCGCATACTTCTACACTATTCTTTGCCATTTTGTAGTGAAAATAGTGTAAGTAGTGCTTTCACACTGACAACTCTACAAGATTGAGTGCACTTTAAATTCCCGGATGATGCACTTATTTAAGTGTGGACTGTTGGACACTTCACACACACAACAGCCGCAGTTTTGATCATGTAGCGGAAGGTGTGGAAATATCAGGCGCTTCTGTTGGATTACTTTATTTTGGATTAGGAAAGCAAAAATCTCCTTTGACACTGATTATGCTGCTTTCTGATGGTGAATGCGGTTATACTCATACCAGATATTATTTGATAGTTTAGTCAATTCTTTTACTAATTTAACAACCGTCAAACATTATCTGGGAAACGGTTTGAATTTGCGGTTAGTGAATAACTGTCAGTGTTTAATAGTGGACGATTCTACATTCATACATTATGCTGTTGAGTGTGTAAGTGCATAAGTACATAGTGTATAAGTTCATAGTGTGTAATGTGCCATTTGGGACGCAGCTTTTGTAGGTTATAGTGAAGCAGAAGAAGGAGACTCACAAGGGGAACGGCAGAGATATACTGGAAGACCTGGAGCTCAGGAAGCAGGTAGAACTGCTTGAACAGACTGAACAATGGAGTTAACATCTTTATGTTGTATTTTGCAGATTTTAATGGACCACATGGAAAAAAGGGAATCACACACCTTAGCAATGACTGGAAACTGATGGTAAGAAATTTATTTTTAAAAAATCTGATTGACGAGTGCATGGATGGACGTCCTTCTAAGATACAGGAGTAGTGGTTGGTATAGGTAGTAATTCGGCCTTGTCTGTGTCTGGTTTTTCTTTTTCAGGTCATAGAAAGAGAGAGCAGGCAGAAGAGGGAGACTCACAAGAGCATCAGTGGAGAACAGCACATAGGTTTTTGTTGGGTCTTTGTCTTTTGCAGGTTGGAGTGGAGCAGAAGAAGGAGACTCACAAGGGGAACGGTGGAGATATACTTGGAGACCTGAAGCTCAGGAAGCAGGTAGAACTGCTTGAACAGACTGAACAAAGGAGTTAGTTTCCAAAGAAATGTATTAAGAATAACTAAAGACTTCACATCTTTCTCTTTTGACAGATTGGCATGGAGCATGTGGAGGAACAGGGAAACACAAGATTATGTGCATGGATGGATGTCCTTCCTAGAGGAAGGGGGTGGTGGTGGGCAAAGATTGTTAGATAGATGTCTTGTCTGTGGCAGTTATTTACATTCTAGGTAATGGAACCACAACAGACAGAAGTGCAATGGTGAATATTTCTCTTTTAGAGCTCTTTTAGTCTTGTTTTCTTTCTTTTGCAGATTAGACTGGGGCATGTGGAGAAATTACAATCCCACCTCAGCGATGACTGCAAACTGATGGTCTGGTTAGATGTTTCCTAAATAGATGGATGAATGAAATATAGATGTCCTTCCAAGAGGAAGGGGGTGGTGGTGGGCTTAGATAGTTAGCTAGATGTCTTGTCTGTGGCAGGTGTTTCTTTTTCAAGTAATGAACACACAACAGGCAGAAGAAGGAAACTCACACGAGCACCAGTGAAGATTTATCTGAAGGACACTGGAGAACATCGTGTGCATTGCTGCAGCATGTGGAGCTCTGTTAGTGGTGTCTTTGTCTTTTACAGACTGGAGTGTAGGAATAACACACCTCAGCAATGACCGGACACTGATGGTTAGAGGTCAGGTATTTCCTGAAATCCTGAAATATAGATGCCCTTCCAAGAGGAAGGGGGTGGAGGTGGGCATAGATTTTTAGATGTCTTCTCTGTGGCAGTTATTTAGATTGTACACTGTTAACCCTTGCTGTAGATTATGCAGTAAATAACCCTAAAATAGCCAGTGTTTTCCTTTAATAAATAAAAACAGTGTTTACTGTAAAACGAGTAGGATTTGTATGAAATTGTGTTGTGCAAAGAATAAATGATTAATGGTGAATTACTGTTCAACAATTACTGTCCCGTCTACTCTGATGTTTTATGTGGTTATTTGTAGAGAAGTGCGTTATCTTAAGACAGAAAACAATGGTTTAGGCACATACACGGGCTGTGTTGCCCCTTTAAGGGAGCCAGGGGTTTGATGTGTTTACTTCTGAGTGTGCTCCATTCTCTGTCTAGTTTAGATGCAGAGTCTGATATTTTTTTAAGCCTTAGTAAGAATCTAAAATAAGTGTGTAAATGTGTTCAAATATGTTTGGGGTTTGTAAAATATTATCTGTGTATTAAATCAAATTGTTGTTATCTTGAACTGTGTACTTGAAAGCTACTTTGTTAGCTAGTTAGCATTTCCTCACAACTTCTTACATAACTTTGCTATAATGTACAGATGCAAACAATGTAGTGTGCCTTTCTGCCAACTAAGCAGTTTTTATACACAGTAAACATTCGGTTTCAATCTCCTCAGTGTAACTGCACAGAAATCCTCACAGGGAATCACAAAAGATGATGCATACTGTAGACATACTCGCAAACCTTCACTGTCAGGTCTGAAGTTGTGAATTACTTGTTTTTCAGAGCTGTTTCCACATGTGAATTTATATTAGGAACAATAGAAAAGTTTGTTTCCTTGAGCTTTTTAATAGCCTAAATAAAAAAAAATGAATTCTTGGTGTTGCTGAATTTATTTTTGTTTTTAAAATTAAACACACACACACACACACACACACACACACACACGGTTGAAGTCAGAACTATTAGCCTGCCTGTTTATTTTTTTTCCCAATATCTGTTGAAACAGAGCAGATTTTTTTTCAACAAATTTCTAAACATAATAGTTTTAATAACTTATTTCTAGTCACTGATTTATTTTATCTTTGCCATGATGACAGTAAATAATATTTGACTAGCTATTTTTCAAGACACTTCTATACAGCTTAAAGTGACATTTTAAGGATTAACTAGGTTAATTAGGTTAACTAGGCAGGTTGGGTTAATTAGGCAAGTTATGGTATAATGATGGTTTGTTCTGAAGATCAGAAAAAAATAGCTTAAAAGGGCTAATAATTTTGACCTTAAAATGGTGTTTAAAAATTTAAAAGTGCCTTAAAAAGAATCAAGAGCTAATAAGTCTGACTTCAACTGTACATACATGCATACATACATACATACATATATGCACCTCCGCTGAGATGCCCAACCAAGACAAACCACCTGATTCTGAACAGCAGAAGATTGGCCTGACGCCCAGACTGAAGACATCACCTGAATGACCAGAAGACTCTTCAAATTACTGCCTATGTGGTTACAGATGGACCAATTCAAACTACTGTTCTGTACTCTTTTCTAGCTGAAATAAATATCACACACACACACACACACACAACAGAATAAATCTTTAAATGACCTTAATTTATTGAATATTTTTAATTTAAAAAAATGTTTTCAGTGATTTGAAATGGTTGAGTGACTTTCACTAAAACACATAATTGAAAGTAATGGATCATTTCATCAAACGTAATACTTACAGCCCTGGGGAAAAATAAATTAAAAATAAATAAATATACAACCCCTTAAAAGTTATTGGTTATTCAGAATTGAATTAATGTGTGTGATCTATTCGTATATTCAAAGAATAAAGTTTATTGTACTTTATTGCATTTTAATATGAAATTTGATTTTTAAAAATAAAAATAATCCTCAAAATAAGAATCTAAAACTTCCAGTAGGTGGTGGTAAAGTCGAATGAGTGAGACGATTCGTTCAAACAACTGAATCATTCAACAAAGTAAGCTGTCTGGACTGTTTGAAACGTGTGCTGCATCCCAATTCACAAACACGTACAAACTGTTGTAATTCCTACAGAGTTCACCTGATTTGGATGTAAATACCCTCAAATTAAAGCTGACAGTCTGCAGTTAAAGCACATCTTGTTTGTTTCATTTCAAATCCATTGTGTTGATGTAAAGAGCCAAAAATGTTAGACTGACCATTTATGCGTTCCTTTTAGCCAATGGTGTATGCAATGGTGTATTAGTATTCATGCTCGAATTATAGCTATGATTATACACGGTAACACGGCACACGCAGTGGCGTAGTGCAACATGTGTGAGCCCACCCACAAGAATTAAGAAGGGGCTTATCTTGCGTGGCCCCCCATCATGCGGGGCATGCCCATCCCCTACGCCAATGAGCACACACTACTTTATATTCTATTTGCTAATATTATTTAATCTTTTCAGATATAGGGGAGAGCGGGGCACAAAGTAACACTTTTTGATTTTGGTCAAATAAACAAAGTAATGGAGTTAGACAAACCATGTTTTTTTTTTTTTTTTTTTACCAATAACACACAAGCCTCTCCAACAAATAAGCACAAGAATTATGATGCCAGGCCGATGGTTTCTGTGCAGTATTGCCAAAAGTGACAGCTGTATAAATGTTACTATTTACCCCACCTGCGGGGCAAGTTGGGTTAGTTAACACATGCATACAAGGCAGATTACACACCATTAATTTAAATTCAGTTTACTTTAAATATTAGCTATATTTCCTCAGTAATTGACTCATTTCTTTTTTATTCTACTTAACACAGCATGTTTATTTATTTGTTTATTGGATAAACACATTTGAATCTATTTGCATTATTATCCATTTTATACATAGATTTTACATTTATACTTTTACAGATTTTTTCAAATAAAAAACTAAAAAACTTGTGTTACATTTAACTCTGTGTTACTTTTTGCCCTCCGCTCCCCTAATTTATTATTTTAGTCTAATTTTATTTTTAGTTTAATTTTATTATTTTACTATACAATATTTTATTATTGTATAGAATTTGTACTATTAATTACTTTTTCTAAACTATTTTGTTAACTTTTATAAAACTGTAATAAAAAAAATGACTCCAGCACTATTTTTAGTAAAGGAGATCCATTTATTGATAATACATTCCATAAAATATACATTACAAGTTTAAGCTTTCTTACTTCTAGGTAACTGGAGTTTTTTCACACTATGAACTTTATATATATATTAAAACAGGAGCATCTCCGATCAGTTGCGTCTGTTTATGGCACGATAATGACCGGATTAAGATGGCAGCCACGTTGACGTATCAAAGCAACGGGTGGTTCTGACTTCCTGTTTCACTAAATTACGACACACGTAATCTACGACAGTTTGCGGCAGTGGCTGGAGACCAGTGGAAAGGAAGTGAACGAATTATTTAGTGAATTGAGGTTGTTCGTTCAGTTGTTTCTCCATGCGCTTAACTTTTTTCATTATCACATTTTACACTGAGTGTCAACAGGACAGCCTTGGATACATTTCCGACAGAAAACTCTAGAGCAGGGGCAGTTTCTGACAGCGAGAGAGAAGCAGTAACCGGGCAATGCTGCTCACCGTGTTTTGTGCACCGAGAGACCGCTCGGAAACCACTTTCGCCCTGGACGTGTCCCCGGAGCTTGAACTCAGGGATTTCTTGGCTCTTTGCGAACTAGAATCAGGAATACCAGCCGGGGAAATTCAGGTGAACGTCTTCAAAAAGTGTTGCAACAGTTAGCTACTATGCTAAGCGATCTGACTAAACAAATTAGTGTCGACACAGTCCACGCTATTAATAGCATACTGAGCCCATGTCAACACTTTAGGAAAACCCCAAATCTGAACAGATTATCAATCTGTAGCGCCCTTAACGACAAACATTTGACAATAATAGGTTATCCCAAGGAAACGTTGCTGTTTTTGTTAACTTGTCAGGAAACTATAATACGTGGAATTGTGTGTTGTTAAAACAAAACACAACTGAAGCTTCATTGATTGGGGTGTGTCGAGATAGCTGATGGTGTTGATTGAAAATCGAAAGGGAAACTTGTATGCCTGCTAAATAGTGCATGAAGATATTTGTATGTTGGCTTTCAGAATTAAAAAGTGATTTTAGGTGCTTTGAAACAACAAATAAAATGCAACTTGTGCTATTCAGATCATATATGCAGAGCAGCCTTTACAAGACCCCACCCGGGCCCTGGGGAACTATGGCCTGAAAGATGGAGATGTGCTGGTGTTAAGACAAGCAGAGAGGTTACGAGCACCACCACAGCCCACAGTTCCAGGTGAACCCGCATAGCTTGATCTGTTGTACAACAGTTTAATACTATCTTATCACATCGATAATCAAAATGAACTTTAATGTCTTAGGCCTGCCTCGCATCGACTTCAGTTCCATTGCTGTTCCTGGGACGTCCTCAGGCCAAAACAGAAACAGACCGCAACAAGCCCAGCGTCCCAGTACAACCCAGCCACCACCACCCCAAGCCACCACTTCTCCAGGTTCAGGCGTTTCTCCTCAGGGATTGGACAACCCTGCCTTGCTACGAGACATGTTATTGGCAAATCCACATGAGCTGTCGCTTCTGAAGGAGCGCAACCCTCCACTTGCTGAAGCTCTGCTGAGTGGAGATCTTGGTAAATGAAGATGAAGAGGATTAAATGCATCTGTACCGATTACTGACGATTTTCTTGATGATATGATGATATTATTTTGATACCCTTTTTTTAGAGCGCTTCACTAAGGTGCTAATGGAGCAGCAGCAGGACCGGGCACGGAGAGATCAGGAGAGAATCAAACTGCTGACTGCAGATCCTTTTGACTTGGACGCTCAGGCCAAGATTGAGGAGGAAATCAGGTAACAAATAAGGGGTGAGATCGTATGCACAGAAAAACGTTGGCTGTTTCTCAATGCCATTAATGCAGAGAACAGACTTGAGTTCTTGTGGAGAGCAGTCTCGCCAAGTTACCTCGGAAGAATAAACTTTGGGAGACTACAGCCCCTTTCACACAGTGATACCGGTAAATATCCGGAAAATTTCCGGAACGACTTTACCGGTATATTCAAAAAAGCGCTGTTCACATAGACGAGGACGTTACGGAATTTTTCCAGAAAAGACCGTTCACACATCCATTTCAAAAATACCGGTAAATTCTGACATCATTCACCACAAATGAGCCTTAAATGGCTGCGCTTGTATTTGTAAACATTTGACTACATTACAAACTCTGTGGATGATCAGTATTGTGAACAACTTCGATGAAAACATATGGAGAATCACTTTTGCATGTCCAGATGTTCATAATATGTGCGTGTGCTGGCGCTCACAGGCTGTTTCACAGGCACACGCAAAACTTGAAGGTAAACAAACAACGGCTTATCATAAGCATCTTATCGATGATTATTTACACAGTTGGCATTAAAAAGAACATATAAACGTTATTTGACTAACTTCTAGCAGCTAAATGCGTCTGAGAAAATATTCAAAGGCTTTTATTCTCATAAACCGCACGGACGTAAGCGCGTCTGACCGTTCTGATTGGCTAAAGCAGACGTCTTACGTCAGCACGTTCTAGATGTGCACACGGTCTTTCCGGCAATCTTCCTTCTGCGTTCACACAGCGCAGCATTCCGGCAAATTACCGGTAATGTTAAAACTTCTCTTTCCGGAAAATAGCCAGAACGAATTTACCGGTATTTTTAAAAAGGACCTGTTCACACATACAACCTTTCCGGAAAATTGCCGGTAATTTTCCGGAAAGGTCTGCATGTGTGAAAGGGGCCTAGAGAACAGAGAACGCATCCTTTGAGGAATGAGATGCGTTTTTCCTGATGGTTACATAACCTTCAAGCATTTTGAACGGAACATAATTTTAACGTCACAGTGTTCATATACCTTTTTAATCATGATAATGTTTAATTTCACCATCTTATTTAAGAAAGCTCCTGAGATAAAGAGTTATATCTCTGAGCTTTAATAATAAACATATATAAAATGCTGTGTTTTTCTGCATTTGCTTTATTGGTTGATGATGATGATGATGATGATTGATGTCATGATATCTATTTTTTGACGTATGATTTATTGCACCAAAATATATTGTGATAAACTATATCATTTTTATTTTAAGACTATTTTATGTTACCCAGTGTGAAAAAATAATATCATCATGATGCAAGTACACACTTCAAAAGAACACAATATTTTATTCTTATGAATATTTCATTTAATTCATTTAATTTGTCATATTAACAATTTAAAAATAAAGCGTTGATATCAGAATGTGAAACCCATAGCCGAAATAAATAACAATAAATGTTATTGTTAAACTGCGATATCCATTTTCAGTTGTCAGACATCCACATAAAAAAACATACTATAGTGATGTATAGTAAATGCTATAATTTTTTAACCATACGGACACGTCCAATAGGGGTAGATATGTTGCACAATCAGCTAAATTGTTGCTAGAATTGGTTTTTATGTATGGGCGATACATATTTGCGTCACCAAAAATGGTTTAGGTCATGTGCACATGTAAGTCGATATATTGATTATTGTAACAGGGCTACACAAGCACGCATATTGAGAAACAGCCATAGTCTATGACATGTGGATTAAAACAAAACAAAAGAATGCATTGAATGGTTAACATGTTTATTTTATTTCCCAGACAGCACAACATTGAGGAGAATATGACCATTGCTATGGAAGAAGCACCTGAAAGTTTTGGCCAGGTTGTGATGCTCTACATCAACTGCAAAGTCAATGGACATCCAGTAAAGGCCTTTGTTGACTCGGGTAAATCACATTTTTAAACTCTTTTCTCAGTAGTATATTGCTATTATATTATGTTAGTATAATGCTGAATGTATTGAGCACAAGTATAAAGCCATTTGAGAATTAAGTTTATAGGGGGTTTACAAAATAAATTATTATTGTAAAATATCAGCCCAGTTTGTACCTTGAAAACCGTGATGGCACTACACTGGGGCAAGGGGAGGCAATGGCCCGCAGGATTTTGAAAAACCTGCTTTACTTCTGGTCACTTGAATTAAGCTGGTCTGTTTTGTTGAATATACTTTTTTTGGGCCAAATAGACAGTAAAACTTCTTCTGTTTAGTGTAGCATGTACATTATCTTAGCTGCTTTTATTACAACATAAGGCAGTTTAATTTTATATGAAGTAACTTTATGAATATCGGTTATTAGCACATGCACATATTGGTCTGGCTCCCCTTTGGCCACAGTAGAGAAATAAATCTGTATTTTTTTTATTTTTATTATTATAAATACTACGGGATACATGACAAATGCACTAAACAAGACTACTTTAAAACACTGATTGTGTCTTCATCTATCTGTTATTGGATTGTCCAAAACATTTTAATATCAGGTTTATAGAGGGTCATTTATCAAAGTTATGTAATAGTTAATGTCTTTGATTTGTGACACAAAATATTTCACTGAATTTGGTGGCCTATTTTCAGTAATAAACTTTATTTATATCCTTTAAATATTCCAGGGTTCTTCACTTTATATACTAATGTTTTATTATCTTTCTTTAGGTGCCCAGATGACAATAATGAGCCAAGCATGTGCAGAGCGATGTAATATCATGCGCCTAGTGGACAGACGCTGGGCAGGCATTGCCAAAGGTGTTGGCACCCAGAAAATCATTGGCCGAGTTCACTTGGGTGTGCACTTTATTTAAACCTACATTTGTAAATATTCTGTAAGCATTTACTTATTTTAATTATTAAAAGTCATTTAACAAAATGGAAATATATATTTAACATCCAGCCCAGGTGCAGATTGAAGGGGATTTTCTACCGTGCTCCTTCTCCATTTTGGAAGATCAGCCCATGGATATGCTGCTAGGCCTTGATATGCTGAAGAGACACCAGGTGTGGTTGAAAACTTTGGTTTATAGCCAATCAAATAATCTGTTTCCTGTAATGGAGTCAGTTTAACTTGACATTAATGTTTTTTTAATGGAATGAAACTAGCTTGAGGATGCAAACTTTCACTGTATTCCCTAGACACGTAGACTTTAGTAAATAATGTAACACTGACTTTATGCTGTCTGTGTGCTTGGTCCGAATAGCTTGTCTTTTTTCTATAGTACCATGTAAGTAAGAATATTAATAATATACGACAGGCGTTTTGAACATCCAGCTGGTTGTTCTTGCAGAATGTACATTATCCAGAAATGTACTTGCTACAAAGTTAAACAATTAGATCAAACTGTCAATCTGAGCTGAAATATTTATTAGCTCTTAAATGTAAAGCTTGCAGAAAGAAATATGGCTGAAAAGATGGCGTCAAACAGTCAAGAATTGCAAAGTGACAGATATGAATATGTACATTTGTAGTAGACAGATGAACTGATGTTATTGGGGAATAAATAACACACCTGGAATATCATGATTGAGCAGTCAGAAGTTGAGTATCTCTTCCAGAAAGTCCTGTAATGATTAACTTTATTAAACAAGCAATCTTAGTTTTAGAGAAGAAAACCCCTTGAATGTTTCTTCTTTAAATCTGAGCTTAATTTCTGCTCTGCTCTGTTCTCACCTTTATGTGATGTCTTTCAGTGTTCTATCGACCTAAAGAAAAATGTCCTCCTTATTGGGACAACGGGTACAGAGACACGCTTTCTACCTGAGGCAGAGCTGCCTGAATGTGCTCGGCTAGCTTACGGGCCAGAGGGACGAGAAGAGCCCCGGCCTGATGAGATTGCAGATCGAGAACTGGCTGAGGCAATACAAAGATCTGTACAGGACAGCGGTAAGATGCATGATATGTAGATTAAGAAATGGCATGACGTAAGGGTTGAAATTAAAGCTAGTTAGTGTTTAACACAAGGAATGAATACTCATCACAGATGTGTCGCATTGTGAGGGTTTCTGGATTAGAAGAATACAACGTTTTTAAAGTTGTAGAGTTTATTGATCCTTGTTGCAGTGAAGAAACACTCACTCAGTTCACAAGGTGGTGTACAATGTGTGTGTCAAATTCATCAAAGAATTCTAAAAAAAAACAAAAGATTTCCAGAAACGCATTAAGCAGTAATATCTTTTACAGTGATCACACATTTTAGCATTTTCACACCAATACCCTTTTTACTGTATTTGTTTTAATTAAATAAATAATAGAGACTATTTCCCAAAAAAGAAATAATATAGACTAGTCTTTTAAATGGTAGTGTGTGCTTGCAGCATGCCTGTGTTCAATTTTACCATGTCACTAAAGCAGAACACTTGTTGAACACCACCTTGTTTAACTTATTTGACTGATAAGTGCATGTCTTTGTTTCTCTTTTTCTCTGGGTGTGTTTTTGCTAATTTTATTCCTCTTATTGCATGAAATGTGTGGCCTTTGTGTGCTTTAACCGTAAGCAGGACAGAACTGATGTCATGTGGACATATATGGACAGCTGGAGAGGGCTCTACCTACCAGGTACTTCAGTCATAAAGGGTACATTTCATTAGCCTAATGCATTATATGTTACTATATATATTGGACCTATGATATACATTGCTACACAATGGGGCAGCCTTCATTGTGTGGGTAATATCTTGCATATCATGAAGTAAGTTCTTCTTTGCCTATCTTAATGCTATTTTATCCTGCATGGTTTGCAGTGTTTGCTGCATTTGCATGGTTTCTTAAGAACTATTTTAGACTTTCAATGTTACTGTATCTCTCATAGATTTTGAAGATGGAAAAACTACCTCACCACAATCCCTGCCCTTTAAACCTCTCAACCAACCCACATCTTCAGCCTCGAGTCATCCCCACAATCTCACACTAGACCGGTCCAGGTCTGCCCCAGCCTCTATAAACCAAGGAGTGACCCCAATTGAAATTTCCACACCGATTAAATCTTCACCACTTCCACCATTGGCTGCGGGTAAACCCTCTCCAGAATCCCCTGATGACACCATCAGATCTCAGTCCCAAGGACTGGCAGATGCCACATCATCCAGCTTGCAGACAGATGCAGATGCTCCCATCCCAAGCACTCTTCCCTCTCAGGAACCATTCTCTAGTACTGTGCCCGAGGACAATGAAGTGACCGGCAGCATAGCTACAGGAGATTACAGCAATCCAATGGACACCGTTTTGGGGAAGTCTATTACTTCCTCAGGGACTGTATCAACAGAAGCTCCTTTTATTGTCTTTAACCCAAGCTCACAGACTCAGACACTGGATCAGGAAATGGACATGGATGTTTCTTACAATGCAAAACCAGAAATTGGCCATGACTTGTCTGATCAGTTTCAGAGTACCCAAGGTGATGTAACTGAAGATGTTTCACAGGCTCAAGTTCCAGATTTGAACCTTGAACCCTGTTCTGTTGAGCCAGCCACTTCTTCTGTCTTTCCAGACCCTGAAAAGAGTGTAATACCCTATGAAAGAGACCAGTCAGAGGTGGATAATGTCCCTCCTCTGGCTCAAGCCCTTAAAGAACTCCATAAACTTCTTATGTCTAGTAGTTGGCCAACGGTTTCTGGAAGGATTCCTCTATCTCACCCTAATGGTACAGCACCAAGTCTAGATGTAGATGAGCTGAATCTGGATCCTGATGCAAGAAACCACACAACTCTGAACCCGACTGCTGACTCGTCTTCTAATACTGCCACAACAGATGACAAAGAGGAGGAAAGTGTTGCCAAAGCTGACTTGACTTCACGATCAGTGAGGGATTCTCCAGATTTACACTCAAGCAATTCATGGCACACAGAGAACCATCTTTCTAGACAGGCGGATCCCATAGTGGAACAAACCATTCAGCACCCTCTTCCTGGTGGAAGTCAGGACCTTAATTTTGAAGAAGGTTCAGTATCGGTGACTTCTTCCCAAGGAGATTGTGAACTCCCCGAGGATCAGCAAGGGAATGACATTATGGGTGAAAAAACCTCAGGCATTGACATCTCAGCTGACCCGTCTCAGCAGCACCCGCTTTCTGTAGCAGCTGGCCCATCAACCAATCCCAGCCTAGGGCCTGTTGCATCTCCTCAAAGTCAAGCCCCTGAGATGGATCCTGTTTTTCTTGGAGACACCATCCAGTCTGCTCCACAGCCCTCGATGGGACAGTTTCCACTAGAGCACATTCATAGGATCCAGGCATCTGGGTTTTCAGCCCATGAGGCTGCTGAGGCACTAGAACAGGCTCAAGGAAGCGTGGAGCTTGCCTTATTGGTGCTGCTTGCACGAAACATCACTGTGCCCACTTAGAATTAACTCCTATGGGTGGCATCGGTTAACACATTAGCCTTTTTTCCATCAGTGGGTTTTCTTTTAGGAGTCCAGGTGTTTTTTTTTTTTTTTTACTTATTGGTCTTTTTTTGGCCAAAATACAAAATGTTTAACGAACAGATTTGTGAGAAGCTGGCTGTATTTCACTTTCAACAGAATGATAATATCTGTGCATTTTTTATTAAGGTTTTGCATGTTGCCTCAATAGTTCGTAATGGATTGTTGATTTTATTGGTTTGGTTTGAATAAATTTGATAAACATTTTACAGGAATGTGAATAGTTTACTTGAGGTGGTGGGGCTCGGTAATACAATTCTTCAAAACTAGACCGGTTTCCTATTATCCAACAACTGCATGGATTTAGATTGCAAAGATTTGTGCCTGATGTTGACTGACCTTAAACAGAAATGATGAAGCATCTTACTAAATACATTTTGTGTAAAAGTAATAGCAGCGGATAGTAAACTGGTAAACCACCCATTTCAGAATCCCTTTCCAAATTTGAGTTGGCAATAATGTTTAAGCTGAGGTAATTTTCTCTTAATTTTGTTTTGATAGTTGCCAATCCTGTATGACTTGACATGTTTTTAATAGGTTGCCTTTGGAAATTATTAGCAGTAGACTTAAATACCATAACCTTTGTGTTCATAGTCCATCTTTGAGCAAGTATGTTCTGTATTATATAAAACAGTTCTGAAGGGGAAGGTATAACATACTTTTATTATCAGTAGTATGTCTTTTACCAGATGTTGTGGTAGTGTTTTATAATGTTTTCATTTAAATTAAATTGACAGGAAAAAGGTGGTGCTAATAAAGTAGTCTACAGGAGTTTTTTTTCCCCATCCACCACTACACTTTGTTGGGATGTCTGTTCTGTTTATCTTATTTGTTGTCTCTTGTCTAAACACTCAATTTGGGTGTAAAGTCCTAATGTACCCTTTTCAGCTGTCTGTGCAGTTTTGTCATGTCTACCCTCTTGTTTAGTAATCTCTGGGTCATATATCAGTTGTTCAATCAATTCGAGAAACTGTTTCATCTTGTATACAGTTTAAAAACCAAATAAAATGAAAAAAATGATTCTTATATTTCAAATGTGCCACTGTGTGCTTTATAACGTTAATGATCATTGGATGAATCTCAGACTTAAGTATTAACCAAGGTTCATTTTAGTTTTTAAATGCTAAATATGAATTAGAATGTAATACTATTAATGGTTCATTAAGAAAAGGAAGTTTTAAAAATTATTTTTGTATTTTTTGCTTATTATATGTAACCTATGTCTAAAACTTTGTTTTTTATAAGTAAATTGTGTTATAAAACGAGCATTTTTCATAAAAATTGATATGGCGCCGACAATGTTATTTCTTTGTTTCAACCAATAATGAAGCAATCCTCAACGCCCAATCAAATGCAGTGAAATCAGGTGAAAGCGCTCTTCTGAATCGATTAGACTCACAAGTTGTTGCGGTTGTTTAGGAAGTAACCTGCCTCGGTGCCGCTCCAGCATTTGTGAGTAAGAAGAGGGTTTTCACCACGATAAATAATACTCATTTCTGTTCTTGGGCGTGGAAAAAGTTTACCGTATTCACATGGCTCATGTTATGGAGGATGAGAGATTCTGGAATCTGACTGGAACTGAAGTTTTAGACCGCACTGCTCGACCCGCGATGGATGAATATGACCCTCCAACAAAAGAGAAAGACAGTGAGGCGTGTGGTGGAAATTACTGGTATGTGATCAAAATAAATTTAAACCGTAGCTCCATGATTTCTAACTTGGCCCAGCCTTGCTAACCTTTAGCAAGCCTAGGTTAAAAGGCTTGTAAAGGAAGCTGACGGGATGTTATTTTGATCGCTTTCTTTTCTTTCTCTTAGTACATCTGAAGGGTTGGCTGAAACTCTTAGATCTGTTGCAAGCTCACAATTGTGGAGCTTTGTAGGGTATTCTCTGCCCATTGCATCCCTCTTCTCTGCGGAGAGCTACAGTCATCTGGAATTTTCTGACATGAACAGTGATGACAGTGAGGTGAAAAGGTAAGGCATTGATTTATTAGGCAAACTTTTAAAATCTAAAATCACTTACAGATGAGAAATACAAGTTGTTTTAAAAAGAGTGAAAAGTTACTATAATTAAAAGTGCCTCTAATGCAATGTTTCACATTATTTTGAAAAATAAAAGCTAAAATCTTCATGCTGTGCATCACAGACCTGTTTAAATGTGCTAAACTCAAGGTCCTGATCCAACCTGATAGGAATTTGATGTTAATGATGCACAAAATGATAATGTCCTCTTAATCGCCAGTCAAACCAACGCACAGCTGTTTTTGTAAAAACATCTAATCCTGAACTTCACAGATCCTCACTGCTCCACAGACAGAATCCAGTTCCCTACAACTTTTATTTTGCTGTTTTGCTTTGACATCAATCACAACCTTTGTTTTAATGCCATTTTTCCTTGTTTCAGTATAAGTGAAATGGACGTCAGTGTACAACAAGAGAAAACATATGTTGCCAAGTTTGAATCCGAGTACATCAATAGTTGTAAGTTTACAAATGATTGAAAGAATTGATTGACTTTTACAAAACTGTCTACCAGATAGTGTAGATATCACATTCACCAGACATCTAAAGTCATTTAAAGGGTCACGAAACACCAAAACACATTTTTTGAGCTGTTGACAGTCGTATATGTGTCCCACACTGCTAAAAACACTATTAGGACACCTATATTTCACTAAAAAGTGTAAATTGGTTGTTTTTGCGTTATTTCAAGCAAATTCGTACTTCCTGTTTGAAACTAATTTTTGAAGCTGCGTCACGGTCATGACATAATAGTGTGTATTCCAGCGTGCAGACTGGGCGTCTGTGCCAGAGTGAGTCTTATTACGTCTTACAGTGTGATGCATTAATGCATGAGTAAGGCTTGGTTCAAACCAATCAGCGCGCTCTATTGTGCAACTTAATTCATATTCTTTAGCGTCATCGTGTTTACGCCACAGAAACGCCACGTTGTGTTGGCAAAACAAGCGTGAAGTGTTGCTTTTATAGTTTGCTGCCATTAAGTTTCGTTTTCATTTTCTCTCTGTGAGAGTGTGGATTAACAGTGTACGCGACGCTCGACAACAATAACTTGCGTGTCTAAGGAGGAACATTGTTTACCTGAGAGCTGTTCTCATCTGCAAACGCTGAAATCCGGATTCGCTTGCAACGTTAGTCTCCTCTTCATAAAGACGTGGCTCTAGTTGCTGGTGATTGTTCTGTCTCTACAGATTTGGTAAGTGAGCGACCAGTGCTCTTTGTTTATTCAGTTTGTTCGTATCGAATTAAGTTAACTATTGCACTGAGTGCAAACATAGCACCGCATTTTGTGACCGGAATAACACACGCGGCTTTCTGACGCTACCTGCCGTGTGCATCTAAGTTTCCGGGAAATGCAGAGTTTTTTTTTCTCTCATTCGCCGTGCGGTATTAAACATTGCATGAAAAATACACGCTAAGAGCAGATCCTCGAATCAAATATCTCGTTGTCGCGAGGGGCATGAATGAATTCCCTGAATGAAAGAGCCAAACTGCAGTTAAAGTCCAACATTTAATAATTTGGCAAATAATTCGACTACAGATGTCCATGTAGGTTAAACACCATCACTTTCTCATGTGTGTGTATTTTGACTGAAACTCGCGCGAGCCCAAATAGACACTCCCACACCATCCCACTTTAGTTCCTCCGACACTCCCCCCTAAACAGAGCTGGACACGCCCACTTTTCTGACTTTTTCCAAAGTAGAGGTGTGAAAACACCCTGCTGAAACGAGGGGGTTTCATGGCCCTTTAAAATGTATGATTTTTCTTTGAATCTTTGTATTACTGCAGTGGTTTAATGAAACTATACAGTTTGGCAGTTATTAGTCAAAATGTATAGATTTCCCAAAAAAAAGACTTAATTCTGCTCCAATTTTATATTCTAGCTGTCCCTTTATATCAGGAGTATTGGATGCGCTCCTTCAAGAAGGACTTAAACCGAGCACAGCTTGCAGGACTTTCAGAATTGGTTGCATCTGTGTGTCTCCCTGGTCTGAAAACTCCCCCATCTTTAAGCCCGACCTCGGTTTTGAGCCCACCAGGGCCTCAGTCCAAACCATATGCTCTATGGCAGGAGTTACCACAAGCAAAGAGTGTGCTGTACTCCCTCAGTGCACAGGACATCCAGCTTCAGGAGGTGCTTATTGTTGTGCATGCTTGAAAGAACCTGATCTTGGTCTGGTGTTACTCATCTTTCTGTTTCATGTTTTTGTTAGGCCATGTTTGAGCTGATTGTGTCCGAGGCCTCGTATCAGAAGAGTCTGATAGTAGCGCTGAATGTGTTTCAGTGCTCAGCAGAACTCAAACACATCCTCACCCGAGTACAGCATCATGTTCTGTTCTCCAACCTAAAAGATGTCTGCAGAGTCAGTGAACGGTAAGGATAGTCACTCGGGTTAGCAGTACCTTCATTTGATATGTATAAATGAAGTAATATCTAGACAGGGGTGCTCATTCCTGTTCCTGGAGATCTACCTTCCTGCAGATTTCAGTTGCTGCCCATATCAAACACACCTGCCTGAAATTATCAAGTGGTGTTCAGGTCCTAATTAATTGGTGTGTTTTGATATGGGTAGCAACTGAAATCTGCAGAAGGGTAGGGCTGCGTCCGAAACCGCCTACTACTCAGTAGGTACTGCATTTGAATTTAAACGTACTACTCGGCCGTTAGAAAAGTATGTTCTATACAGTATAAATGTGAAAAGTATGAATGGAATTCGGACATACTACACCATTTTGACATAGTCATGTGACGTACCTGCGTAATTTAGCGTCGCTTCACTCCCATTCATAAATTCACTCGCGGGCCATCATGGGATAGCGCATTATGCATGGGATGTGCACTCCAGAATCTCACGTAAAGTAGTAAGTCATCCGAGTACTTCTCGCATACTGGTTTTTGAATTTTATGAATTCGGACATACTACTCGGCTCACATACTGATTTTAGCATACTACAGTCTATAGTATGGAAGTATGTGGTTTCGGACGCAGCCACGATCTCCAGGAACAGGATTAAGCACCCCTGATCTAGAAAGCAATTCATAGTACAGGGTGCTTTCAAAAAGAAAACCACAACTTTGAAAACCGAGAACTCTGCAGAGTAGAAAACGAGAGCGAAGCTCTTTCTGTCTTTGATTTAAGGAAGCTCCGTTTCACATTGAGGAACTAAAAGAAGAAATAACTGCAGCTAGCCAAAATGTTACGCCCGAGATGCTACAGAGAGTATGAAACGAGTTTGAATATCGGGTTGATGTCACCAGAGTATCTTAAAGGGGGTCATAAGGAACATCTATGAACTTGTTTTCTACTTAAAACAAAAACTTAAGTACTCTTCATGTTGATTAATTACCCAAGGTTCCATCATGTTAAGTTAAATAATATAAAATTATATAATTTTAACTGGCAAGGCAGTGGCGCAGTAGGTAGTGCTGTCGCCTCACAGCAAGAAGGTCGCTGGTTCGAACCTCGGCTCAGTTGGCGTTTCTGTGTATGTATCCGTAGTGTATGAGTGTGTGTGTGAATGTTTCCCAGAGATGGGTTGTGGCTGGAAGGGCATCCGCTGTGTAAAAAAACTTGCTGGATAAGTTGGCGGTTCATTCCGCTGTGGCGACCCCGAATTAATAAAGGGACTAAGCCGACAAGAAAATGAATGAATGAATAATTTTAACTGATTTACAGAAGATGCTCACGAAAATGTAATTGTATTACAGTATTTTATATACAAAAAAAAATTAAAGATATTTCATTAAAGAATATAATTTGATCACAATTCAGCTCCAAAATTCTAAATTAGTGTCATTTTAAATCTTTATACTAAATATAGAGGGGTTGGACTATGAATTTTAAACATGGCTAAATTTGACCAGCCTGGTGACCAATCTTCATTGATTCAGAGTTCATCCAGTAAGGCTGCGGTCACGCTAGACTTTTCTCCCCATAGACCTCCATTCATACACACGCAAATGCGTCAGACCGGAAATGCAAGCTCATGTGACAAGTTTCGCAGTTCGCTGCATTGCAAAGTTCAAGCTTGGTGAACTCTGATCTGAGAAATCGCATCGCTTGACTGCGTGAGACCAATCAAAGATCAAAACATGACCTCTCTGGACCTAAATTTAAAATATGAACCAATCAATCACTCACTTTTTTTAAATGTCTAATCATCTTGTTTAATCCCGCCCCTTTTTGCAGCGCCATACTACAGATTTTCACAAGCTCAAACTCTAGTGTCCTAGATGTCCTTCCAAGAGGAAGGGGGTGGAGGTGGGCATAGATTGTTAGATAGATGTCTTCTTTGTGGCTGTTGATTTAATTGTAGTTGATGAACACATAACAGGCGGAAAAGGGAAACTCACAAGAGCATCAGAAGCAGGGGATTTGAAAGGTTTATTTTGCAGATTATTATTACAATTCTCCAGGTTAAGGTCAGCATACCACAAAGAACAACTAACTACATTCAAAAGAAGTAACCATGGACTCCTAAGGAAGCTGTTTGAAATGGATTTCCAGTTGCTAAACCGGGATTAAATCCAAAAAATGTAAAACTACAGCTGTCCAACTCACTGCAGAATTAAATGTGCACCTTAACTCTCCTGTTTCCTGTCGGGAGCTCCACAGGGTCAGTATACATGGCCGGGCTGCTATAGACAAACCTTTGGTCATTCGTGCCAATAGAGTTTCAATAGTGCCAGCAGCAAAAATTTTGGCTGTGGACAATGTGAAATGTATTTTTCTTTGAGTCTGCCTTCATTGTCTTTCCCACATGTGGGAGGGTTACAGTGTGGAGAAGCTCCAAAAAAGTGTACCACCCAGATTGTTGCATTCCCAGAGTGTAGCATGGGGGTGGATCAGGGAGGGGCTGGGGTGCAATATTATGGCATTTACTAGACCCAAAACTTGTGCTAGACTGCCAAGAAATACCGAACCGAATGATGATGCACCAATACACACAGCAAGAATGGTGACAGTGGTTTGATCAAGCAAGTGAAGTTGAATATCTTCCATGGCCTGCACAGTCATCAGATCAAAATATTATTGAGCCGCTTTGGTGTGTTTTGGAGGAATGATTCAGGAAATATTTTCCTTTACCCTACTGATTCTACTAAAATGGCTCAAAATCCCTCTGGCCACTGTGCAGGACTCATATCTGTAACTCCCAAGACAAACTGATGCTGTATTGGCTGCAAAAGGATGCCCTACACCAGGGGTGTCCAAACTCCGTCCTGGAGGTCTGGTGTCCTGGAGAGTTCAGTTCCAACCCTACTCAAACACACCTGAACTAGGTAATCAAGCTCTTACTAGAAACTTCCTGGCAGGTGGTGTTTGAGCTAAACTATGCAGGACATCGGCCCTCCAGGCCCGAGTTTGGACAGCCCTGCCCTACACCATATTAGTAAATTATTGTGGTCTAAAACCAGGCGTTTCAGTTTCATTGTCCAACCGCTGCACTTATAAATATAGTCTTCTTCATTCAAAATCTCATTTTTTTTTTTCTCCAAAAGTATTTTTATTGAACATATTAGATATGAAACATACATTACAAAATAGCTTTTCAAATTTTTTTTTTTTACACAACAAACAAACAAAACCTGCCGCACATACATTTAGGTTCTAGAAAAAAATATAAATAATATTGAGAAAAAATGCAAATAAATAGTAATAATACGTAAAGCATATGTTACTCTCATTAATAAGGGGAGAAAAAAGAAAATACAAAAAATTGAAGAGAAAAGAAAAAAAAAATACAACAAACAAACAAGGAAAGGTTCTACTCTTCTAAAATGACTGAGGGGTCCATCTTTTTTACGTGATCTAAAACAGGTTGCCAGGTGAGAAAAAACATATCAGTACAGCCTCCTAAAGTGTATCGTATTTTTTCTAAGGTCAGGTGGTGTAGAAGTTCCATAAGCCATTGCTTAAAGGTTGGAGGAAGTTTTTCCTTCCATTTCAGCAATATTAATCTTCTAGCTAAAAGCGTAGCAAAGGCAATCACATTTATCTTGCTTTTGTTAAAACATAAGGACTGTGGTGTGATTCCAAAAATTGAAATTATGGCCTCAGGTTCTACATACGTATTTAATGCGTCCGAGAGGAATTTAAATATTAGCTGCCAGAATTTCTTTAATTTTGAACAAGCCCAAAACATATGAGATAAAGTAGCTGGCTCAATGTTACACCGGTCACAGTTAGGGTCTATATTTGGTTTAAATTTTCAAAATCTAATTTAATGCAGGACATGTTGTCTTTGGTTTTTGTAGGTTTCTGCAGGACCTGGAGTCTCATCTCAGGCAGGATGTGGTGATGTCACAGGTTGGTGACGTTGTTTTGAACCACCAAAAATCCTTCCAACAAGTCTATGTGCCGTATATCACCAACATGATGTACCAGGAGGCCCTCGTCACTCAGCTGCTGTTTGTTCCGTTTATATATTTCCACCAAATTCAGCTTCAGTTTATCATCACAGCATTCTGATCGATATTTTGCACCCCCTCTACCAGACAGGAAAACAGGAAATTTGCACCAATCCTAAAGAAACTAGAGAAGGACCCACAATGCCAGAGACAGACGCTTAAGTCTTTTCTAATTCTTCCCTTTCAGAGGATCACACGAATAACTCTCTTGCTTGAGGTTTGCTTCCCTTTTTAATAGGTCAGGGAGATGTTGGATATTAGTGGTAAATGGCAAATACACCAATTGGTGGAGTAGTGAACGTGATTATTTATTAGTTGTTTGTGTTATCTGGTTTAGAATGTCCTCAAGAGAGCTCGGGGTGTTAGTCTCAATGTCCCTAATGTGAAGGAAGCCATTGAAGCTGTACGGAAGGTATTACAAGTCATAAAATAAAATAGATTGAGTTCATCTGCTGTTAGGATTCATAATTCAATTTCTGATTGTAGATAGTGGAAGAGTGTGACACAAGAGTCCAGAAAATGAAAAGAACAGAGCTGCTCGTTTCTTTGGACAAGTTAGTGGACTTCGGAAATGTCAAGGTACAAAATATCTTGAGTTCTTTTTTATGCCTCTGTCAAATTTGTAGACATATTTTTCTTTTTTTCAATAGGCTGTTCCATTAATCACCAGAGGACGTCATTTGGTTCAGGAGGGAACTTTGAAGCAATTAATAATTGGTGGCAATCACAAGGCATCTATAGTCTCTCGCAAAGATTTATACATACACCTTTTCAATGATCTTTTGCTCCTCTCTGTTAGAAGGTATGATCTGCTGCATGATTTCCATTGACTCTTTAATTTAACGTTTTATGTGTAGGTGTGTCTGTGTATGTATAACCAATTTTATTATCTTTTTCTTCCTCTATTCAGCGGACAAAGATTCCTTGTGCAGGACCATGCGTTATTTCCTGATCATGTACGCGCTGAGGAAATCAAAACTACTATTTTGGGATTACCCTCTGAATCCCTCCTGCTTCATCTGACTAAGAAGCATAATAGATCGTCCTCTGCCCTGATACTTGCTGCACGCAACGAGTAATTAGTCTTGGCAATGGTTCATATTGTGTAGAACTAAGGGTTTACAAAATTGGGGGCCACAAGGCAGTGCTTAGGGGGCTGTAAAATGTAAAGTTAATTATTTTTGAATAAAGCAATAAATGAATGGATTTAAAAATAATAATAATAAGATAAATGTGCTGATTGAGAAAAGAATACATTTTAATTTAGATTCAGATTAGAATAATAATATATTTGTACTTAAGTACTGTACTAACGTATACATTGGGACTTTGTATTTAAAAGAAAGCTGGTGTATTTCAAGTTTTCTTGAGTGAACATTTTGCTTTTAGTTGTGCAAGTAAATGTTTGTTTTTCTTTCTGTTTTTAGGTTGGAAAAAGAAACCTGGATTAAAGCTCTGTCATCAAAGTAGGAGACTGCCATTATGGGAAAGCTACGAAGGATGTTCTTTAAGGAAAGAATCAAACTGTGGATCATAAAATAGACATTATAATTCATGCTTTTAATTTTTTTGGAATATTGTTCTGATAGTGTGTATATTATATATTTATTATAAATAAATGGCTGTAGGAAACGTTTTAACATGAGGTTTATTTCAACAAAACACAATGCATATACAGAAGAAATTTACAATTTGTAATCATCCAATTGTTGGGATTTATTCCCTTCGCTGTTGAATAGGCTTGTTCAACAAGACCCACTGTAGAAAACGTCTTTCTTCTCCCATTTCAGCACCACCTGTGTTGAAGAAGAAGAAACCCAAGTTAAGTCATGATGAGAGGTGAACGATGATTTCAACAACATTATGCCATTTCACCTGTAAGAGTCCATTTTGTTGTTAATGTGTGGAGCTACGTGACCGGCTGAGGAGACATCAAGTCAAAATCTGAAAGGTTTCTCGCGACCCAAACACCCGCAGCAAACAAGCCCAGGTTCACAAGGAGATTCCTGTAACAACAGCAGACACTTAAAACAGCACATGTAAATCAGATTTTGAGTAACGTTGGTACGTTACATTCGTCGTTTCGAGCCTTCGTAAATTTATAAACCGTGACTAACCTTCTAAAATCATTTCGGTCTGCGGCAAAACGGCAAGCCGAGCTTATCCATCCCGTGACCCCTCCCGATTTCCCTTCCGATTTCTTTCCGCTCATTGTTTTTAAACGTTATAATAAATTATTAGGATTAGCCACACGAAGCATTCAAGCAGAAGGTCTTTGATATTACCTTGGAATTTCTACGGCAAACCACGAGGTTATCGCATTAGTACGGGTGCTCGACGGGGACAACCCGTAGTGAGAGACGGGCGATATCCGCAATGAGGAGTCAATATTGAAACGCCGTACAATTTGTCCCTTCACGGCTTACAGATTTGTACATGAGCGCAGTTGTGAAACACAAATCCTGTAACGTTACTTGAAATATGTCTGCCACTAGATATCGTCGATTTCTGAAGCTGTGCGAGGAATGGCCAAAAGACGAGTCTAAGAAAGGAAGAGATTTAGGGACGTTTTTACGCCAAAGAGTCGCTAGTGCTTTCCGGGAGGGCGAAAATACACAGGTATGTACTGCACCATTTATCCTTGCTGACATTCAAAGTCAAATCTTTCATTGTGTGTGCAGAGATATGTTATGCTATTGAGATAAAGTTGGCTTTATATTCACACATTCGGACTTTCTCATCAATTATTATAAATAGTGACATATCACTGTATGTCAGTGACTATCAAAGTAAGTTACATTATTCAGACAAATAAGTCATGCTAATGTTTTGAATTCGTTCTTGCATGTGATTTGAATTTCACACCCAAAATCTAAAGTACCATGGGGAAAAAAGTTGTCATTGAACGAATGTGCGAATATAAAACCAACTTTACCTCAATTTTGATGCTTTAATTAGACAAGCCTCGGGTTTTTTTTTTTTTTTTTTTTTTGTAGTCTAGTGTTTAATAATCAGTTCTCTTGTACAAACATTGAATTTTATAAATATTACTTTAAGCTATTCGTGCACAATTGTTTTCTATTCAGATTTCAGACCCAGAGAAATGTGATCAGATGTATGAAAGTCTGGCTCGCATCAACAGTAATGTGTACAAAGAGAAGGTGAGTAGTGCTTTTTGGTTTCCTCTAGATGACACTTCTCATTTGGGTTTATTTTGCTAATACATTTATATGGTTTTCATTTGTGTTGACCACATTCTTGAAATGTTACAGTGACTTTTTTTTTTCTCTCTCCAGTTTCCACGAGCAAAAGACACCAGTTTTACAGGTGTGACAGTGGAAGAGTGTCGATTGCTGTTGGCCACAGGTGTGGATTTATACATTATATTGTACAAACTGAGATACACCAGAATTTAAAAGTTGTGAGAAATTTTGCAGAGCTAGATCCATTCCTGCGTCAACATAATTTGCTGATCCTGAAACATGTTACCTGTCAGAAAACTCATTTCAATTCTAATTCTTACACTAAACCCAACCCTACCCATACTGTAAATTATTCCTAAAACCAAAGGGAAATAATAAGTAAATATCAATAATTTGAAAGCACCAAACACTGATTGTAAACCTAAATGTTACATAAACTGTAAACCTTTGTCTCAAATCTGATTGGTTGGCTGGAAGTTTGTTCCAGGATGAACAAAGATGCTGATTCAAGAATATGTTGCACTTGGTAAAATCGGGTTCTGCATGTGCAAAGGTAAAACAAACAAAAATGGCTATATTGTGAAATATTATTAGTATTAGCTTTTTCTGTTAAAAATGATTAAAAAGGTGTTCTGTATATAATGACTATTTTAGAGGTTTTTGTAGATCAAACTACACAAATTATGTGTCTAATATTTTTTAGGCTACATGCAGATATAAACACCTATTTTAGATGAAATGTGTTTTGTGAATACTTGATGTCTATATCGGTGCTATAGATCTGCCAGTTTCAGACTGTTAAATGGTATTTTTCCTAGCATGGATTGGCGTGATTATGCATTTACAATGGTATGACCCGTTATGGGTGGACAGTCAAATATGTTTAAGTTATACATTGTCAATCCTCCCAAACCCCCCTGCAATTCGCACCATCGTTATATATTGTTTAAGACACATTAAACCTTATCGGCATGCAGTATGGACAGCAAGTTAGAATATTATTGTGCAGGGAACCATTACTGTGCATATGGCAATAAACACTGAATCTGGAACCTTTAATGTCACATGATTCTTCAGAAATCAATCTGACATACTAATTTGCTGATCAAGAAAGATTTCTTAAAATTATCATCTGTTGATGTTTTGTGCAGACAGTACTGTATAACAACTGATACATTAGAGATTGTTTTGATCAGTAGAAAGCATTAATGCATTATCTTTGCTCTTTTGGTCAATTTAATAGAATGTATTTTTTTTGTTTGCTTTTGTCATGGCAGTAAACATGACCAAATTTAGGTTAATATTATGTGAAATTTAAAAATACATTATTTTTCCTCCTTTAATGTTAAAAGCAGAGGTACTGCTATACTTATTAGAAAGGATGATCAATTTGTCACTGATAATGTCATTAGTGACATTAATGGTATATATATAAGTGTGACAGGCCGTCTGTTTGATAAATAAGTAATACTGATCAATATTTACGCCCCAAACTTTGATGATTGTTCTTTCTTCAGATTCTTCTGTATTGGAAAAAACCTGAGCCCCCAACACATAGTAGATGGATTAAAGACGTTATGTATTTTATTCAGCTTGAAAAAATCTAATTTACTCTCAGAGGTTCAAAAAATATTTTTTTTAAAACATCGTCTCCCTTTCTTACACACGTTGACAATTTAAAAATTTTTGAGCAGGAGGATATATAAAATCTCATATAATCCCAAAAGACCCCCCCCCCCCCTTTTTTTTTTTAATTAATTAATTTATTTAATTTATTCCTCTTTCACGTCAATGTAACCTTGTAATGGCTTTCACAATTGCAGTGCTTATAAGAAAAGTGTACAGAACCTTCCTTTTATTGCACACTGAACTGTTCACTTTTTATGTGTATCGTATATTTTTTTGCATTTTGTCATTACTGTATTGAAGTTGTGTGTGCACTCTATATGTACATTTGCTGTGCATTTGTGTGACGCTCGAGGACTTTGTTTACAGACTGTTAGCTATGTATATCTTCTGATAAAGCCACAAAAGGGAAAGTTGTGTTGGGGATATTTGTTTATATATTTTGTTTTGTTGTTGTTGACTGATTGTCTTTTTCTGTTTTGTGCAAATGTATATATGTATATATATATATATATATATATATATATATATATATATATATATATATATATATATATATATATATATATATATATATATATATATATATATAACCTTATAAATAAAGTATTTAAAAAATACATTATTTTAAATTAAGTTTTTTTTTTTTTTTTTTTTTTTTTACATGATGTAGAGTTTCTAAATTATGTTTATGACCTGTTGGTCACTTTTTAAGCACAGACTTGAAATTAAGATGTTTAGTTTAAACTGCCCAGTGTCTTGAGTACAAATGTTTGGTTTCTTAAAGACATTTGCCATTATTTTAGAAGTTTATTAAAGTTTTTGTGGCAAAAGGTATGGTATGAAGACTTGTTTAAAACATTAAATGTGGTGTCATGTAGCATCTTTTTAAATGTCTTTTATTGAGCTATGTATAGTGGACAAAAACATGAAAAATAAGTAGGTAAATGATGTTGTCATTTGTTTCAGGAAGCATGCAGCAGACAGATGAGGAGAAGAAGGGATTGTGGAAGACCCTAATGGAGCGCTTCTCCTCCAAACCTGAAGACGTACCCCCTGAAAAAGCTGAGAAATAACCTCCATACTGTATAGTTCTTATTTATTCCCCTTTGCACTTTCACAGATAGACCCAATAAGGTGTGTATGCAGATCTTCACTTTAACAGCTGTAGCTCTCCTAAAGTCGATGGTCGAAACAGAGAGCTCCAACAAGCAAAACCAGTGATTTTTGTTGGAAGAGCTGCTGTAGGGTTTAAGAAATGTGACAATTCAGGAAACACCGTATTCAGTTTTATAGAATATTACTTGCATATTATTTTTCTTGAACCAGCAGATGCCAATAAATACTTTTTGTATTTCCCTTTAAACAATCCTGTGTATGTTTTGACTTCAAGTGGAAAAACCTGAATCCTTTTACATACACATTTTGTGCTCCTACAGCATGTTTGGTTTACTTCATGCCTTTAATTGCCACAGATGTATGTTCATGGTAGGCAGGGCCACTTAAAGAAATCCTCATTTGAATGCTTGTTTAAAAAAAAAAAGACTTCATTAGGTGTTGCAGATACAGTTGAAGTCAGAATTATTAGCCCCTATTGGAGTTTCTTTTTCCTTTCTTTTTTTGATATTTCCTAAATGATGTTTAACAGACCAAAGAATTTTTCACAGTATGTCTGATAATATTTTTTCTTCTGGAGAAAGTCTTATTTGTTTTATTTTGGCTAGATTAAAAGCTGTTTTTAATTTAAAAACATGTTAGGGACAAAATTATTAGCCGCTTTGAGCTAAATTCTTTTTTCGATAGTCTACAGAACAAACAACCATCGTTATACAATAACTTGCCTAATTACCCTAACCTGCCTAATTAACCTAGTTAAGGCTTTAAATGTCATGTTAAGCTGTATAGAAGTGTCTTTAAAAAGATCTAGTTAAATATTTTTTTACTGTCATCCTGGCAAAGATAAAACAAATTATTTATTAGAAATGAGAATATTTAAACTATCATGTTTATAAATGTGTTGAAAAAAATATTCTCTCCGTTAAACAGAAATTGGGAAAAAAAATTAAACGGGGGTGAATAATTCAGGGGGGCTAATTAATTCTGACTCAAAGTGTACATTACTAATGTATTTTAATGAACATTTAATGGCTAATTGTGTATATACCATGTTAGTTAGATTGGCGGTAGCTAAGGTAAAATAAAATGAAAATAATTTAATTTAGTTTAAATGTGCTTATTCATGATTAGGGTAAAAATAAATGCAGTTGTTCATTAATGGGGCTTACTTAACAATGTGAAATAACTGAATGCATGTTGGGGGATTTTCTGGCTAATATTGATAACATGGCCTAATCTGTGATGAAGCATGTTCCCAAAAGATAGATGGTAAAAGCCTCCTCTGCCTGACCACCACCCTTGTACAGCCACAACACTTCATGACCAGAACTTAATGTTTGTGATAGAAACCACATGCAGTGTGCTTTAAACATGTTTATTTAAGGAAGTTAGCAAACAGTTGATTTGAAGAGCAAATAAACTGATCTAAACATGAGTAAATAGGTGCAGTGTGTTAAAAAATAATTTATGGAAGCATTAGAGTATTATTTTATTGCGTCACCTCTTCTACTTAAGACATCCGGTGAATTACCTTGCAAGTGAATATAAAAAAAATTCAAACTCTTAATTAAACATTTTCAGAAATGCCAACAAGTAACAAAACAATCATGAGTGCATTTATTCTTCTTAGTTGTGTTAGCTGGAATAGTGTTGGGCTCTTCAGTCTTCTTTCTTGGGCTCTGGGTTGTCTCTCCAAATACAGTAGTTGAGGCTGGTGGCGACACACAACCAGGCCATGTATGGCACCATGAGAAGTGTTGCAGTGCGGCTGATGGGATACCAGGACACCATTGTGGCTGCCACTGTGCCACTCATCAACAATAGCTCTATCAGTGCCTAGATATAAAAGAAAAACAGAAGAGCACCACAATGTGTTTTTCATTTCAAATTAATGAAGCAAATAAAACTGTCAAATTTCAGAAGTATGTTCTAAAAAAAAAAAAAAAAAAACAGAAAATGACAACAAAAGAAGATATTTTGAAGAATGTTCAAATCTGTTTAGCCTTGGCTTTGTTTGCATCCACCAATTTTTATGTGTACTTTAGGATACCACATAAAAAAACCTACAAATATTGAATTTTTCAACTCAGATGAGTCAGATGAAAAGAAATTATTCAATAGATAAATGCATATTAACCATGATGGAAACAAAATTTCCAAAGAAGTTTGGCAAAATATAATATACCAGTATTTATTCTAATTTTACAGATTTCATCAGATAACTAGACAAACCAATGGACTGATCTTGTCTCGCACCAAATGTTTTAACAGTTCTGCAAACACCTGAGGAAAATTCTATCCTCAAAATGAATTTATCAATCGACCATTTAGCACGATAACAATAAAACCTCAGGCATTCACCTCTAAACTGATGTGTGTGCTTGGAATATTTGATAAGAACGGGGAAAAAAGTTCTAAAATGGATTGGCTTATTGCAGGGACGTCCAAACTCAGTCCTGGAGGGCCTTATCTCCAACTTGCCTTAACACACCTCCAAGGATATTTCTAGAAAGCCTAGTAAGAGCTTGATTAGGTAGCCCAGGTGAGTCTGATTGGGGTTGTAACTAATCTTTGCAGGACACCGGCTCTCCAGCACCAAGTTTGGACACCCCTGGCTTATTGCATGAATTATTTTAAATAATAAATGTAAAGAATTTTATTATTAATCTATTGTGCTACTTTGCCAGGCAGTGATATTTGTCTCTTGAATGTGTGATGAAAAAGTTGCTTTAATCATTGAATGGAGAAAGCTTATGTCATTGCGAATTGAAACAGTCACCGACATTCTTCAAAATATATTATTTTGTGTTGCAGAGAAGAATTATCCTAACTAAACAATGACTGAATTTTCATTTTTAATTGTGATTATCTTTATATTTTTACCATGACAATGTACCTGAAAGATGAATGCTTTTTTGAAAAGCTTTGACTCTCTATAGTCAAAAGATTCCCTGTCAACACAAAATCGTAATGAGCATTGCAGGCCACTAGTTTATGATGTCACTCCTAAAAGAAACACTACGGGTGCATCTGAAGTTGCACACTTCCCTACTATATAGTATGTGAAAAACAGCATGTGAGCCAACATAGTGTGTCCAAATTCATAGTATTTAAAAAAACAGTACTCAAGAAGTATTGATAAATTGTGGATGTAGTACATCTGAATTCCACTGTTCTCGCATTTATACTATATATAACATACTTTTTGAACAGTCGTGAACATTTGTGATTTCGGACAGCTTTTTATAGTACATGTGCAAGATTGAACACGTAGTACACACCCACATGATGTCAGCATATTCACAAAATCACTAGTAGTTTGCAGCGATGAAATAAAGTGCACTTTGAACACACATTTTTTGCATTTTCAGGCTTCCAAAATACCATTGTCATGTTAAAAACTGCATAATATTCCCTCCTTTTTTGAGTCTGATAAGATCTCATTAGTACTATATGTGGAGAAACAGGTTCCTGGTTTAACTTTTAAAAAGTTGCTCCATATTTTAACTTGAAATACACTGAAAAAATGGACTTTTGTTGCTAGTTCAAAGTACTTTTTTAAGATAAAATAAGTTGAAACAACACCATTCTTAGCCAAAATCAAACAAAAAGTGCTCAGGGGTAGCTTAATTATTGTGTTGGTGCTCTTTGAATAAGGGATTCACCAAGATAAACAGCAAAAGTAAGTTCAAGGCACTCGAAAAATGTGGACAAAGTATTAAAGAGCCTATATTGACATGGCTATTCCTTAAAACTGCGCCTACACCTTTCAGCAAACACTTGCCACTCTGATGATGGCAGGAGTTTGCTGAAACACATAGGTACAGTTTTAAAGAATAGACATGATAATCAAGGCTCTTTAATACTTTGTCCACATTTTTTCGAGTGCCTTGGGATTGTTTTTGCTGTTAACACAATTCTTATGTTTGTTTTAGGACACTGATTTGTTTATTGTTCAATCCACATACAATCCACATATATATAAAAATTAATTAATTTGTGTTGGGACAACATGAAGTAATTGTGTGGAATGCAGCATTTTATAATACAATTTCAGAGTCTCAGAATAATGTCTCACCAGTTGAATTTTGTGTGCACCGAAGAAGATGGGGGTCCAGGCCCAGTTAAGTGCCAACTGCAGCCCATAAAGCCCCAATGGCACCATTGCATCCTGGGTGAAGCCTCCAAGCTCTTTCCACACAAGGTATGAGCCGTACCTTTAAAAAAAGATGGAAAACTGTTTACTTAATCTGCAGTAACTAGTCAGTTATTAACTTATCTACAACTTCCTTTAAAGTTTCTAAAGTGTAGCATGCAGAGTGAATGCCTACTGTTTGAACGTACCCCATGCCAGTGTAAAGGGTGGTCCACACCACTGGGAAGGCAGCATTCGGTGGTCTCCATGAGGGTTTATTGAGCGTGGAGTACCAGGTCTTAACCTCCCGCCGTGTGATTATACCTCCAAATATCCCACCAACGTGAGGGAGGGCAGTCAGGCTCAGCATAGGAATCCACATCCTTTCAATACAAACAGGTAAATTAAGGATTCTGAGCAACTGCCTGTGTATGTATATTATATACAGTTGAAGTCCCCCTATTTATTTTTTTCCCTAATTTCTGTTTAACAGAGATTTTTTCAACAAATTTCTAAACATATTAGTTTTGATAACTCATATCTAATAACTGATTTATTTTATTTTTGCCATGATGAGAGTACATAATATTTTGCTTGATATTTTTCAACCCACTTCTATACAGCTTAAAGGGACATTGGAAGGCTTAACTAGGTTAATTAGGTTAACTAGGCAGGTTAGGGTAATTAGGCAAGTTATTGTATAATGATGGTCTGTTCTTTACACTATCGAAAACAAAGTAGCTTAAAGGGGGCTAATTTGACCTTTAAATGGGTTTTAAAAAATTAAAAAACTGCCTTTATTCTAGCCGAAATAAAATAAATAAGACTTTCTCCAGAAGAAAAAATATTATCAGACATACTGTGAAAATTTCCTTGCTCTTTTAAACATAATTTGAGAAATATTTAAAAAAGAAAAGAAAATTCAATAAGGAGCTAATAATTCTGACTTCAACTGTAACTGGTTTGGAATGGTTGCTCTGCACCTCCTTCTCCATGTAACTTTTAAGTCTGACAGCTTATCTACCCAGCAAGGAGGCCAACAGTAGCTGAGGGTTCATTTCATTTGCAGCACAATAATAAGTACAACTCACTTCTACTTATTAACAATAAATGCGATCATACACTCAAAAAATATATATTTTTGCTCGTTCAAACTACTTAATTATAATAAGCTAAAACAACACTATTTCATTGGGACAACTTAATTTATTTATGTTCAATCCAAATAAATTTTTTAAATGTGTTAATTTAACTTAATTTGTGCTGGGACAATATGAAATAATTGTGTGTAACCCTGCATTTTTTTACAGTGTACATTAATTGGGAGATTCTATTGCAGATTATTTCCGAGGACATTTTTATTTAGTTTGACCTAAATCTATAATAACCAAAACTAAAATTAAAACTGAAATCAATCAATAAATAAATGAACATAATTAAACAAAAAACAGCCATTATAAATATTGCCTCATTAAAATAATAAAAAATAACAAAAAAGACAACAACCCTAAAATGGCACAAAAAACTGAAAATTAAAAACAATAAAATTGTCTTTTTTAAAATAATATTTAAAATAAATAAAAATAGATTAATATTTGTAATTAAAATAATAAAAACCGTGATGAACAAAAAGTCCAATATAAATGAACTACAAAACAATGAACTTAAAATAAAACAATCATTTAAAATAGAAATACAAATAGCACAAAAACTACCAAACTACTGCTCACAATCCAATTCGAAATGCTTTATCTTAAATTATCTTGAATGAACTTTTAGCAAACATGAAAAACTTTTGGTTGACAGCCAGTTCAGTTTGTCCCTCAAGTGGGAGCGATTCTGCGCATGGACCCAAAACGTGTAAATGTAAACGAAACCTGAGTACATGTGTAGAGCTTGACGAGAAATGTTACATATAACCCAATACAGACATTTTATATTTCGTGCAAGGGATATTAAACTGCATGAATTGGTCGCAAATGTTAGTCACGCGCTTATCGTTACATTACTTAACGCGCGCGACAGACAGCTGGTGGCGTTTTGTTTACAAATACTACGCCTGGCCAGTCAGATAATTCAAATTAATCGATTTTTTCACAGCGTAATCTTTTTTACCTCAACTGGAGAGTCGTGAAGCTGCTCGATGTGAAGAAGAGACCGGTTTGGACAGCCTTCTATGACCGGAGTGATCTTGAAATCCTGATATAAGTTTGTGTAACAGCCAGTGGGCGTGTAGCTCTGTGCTGCTGTAGAAACAATGCTCGGACTCTCTGGCCAATAAGGAGAGGAGCGTAAACATCTGCCGCTTCCTCGTGTTGTGAAACGATCACTCAGCATAGTACTGTACTGTACTGTACTGTAGTAATTTGTGTTCAAGACGATCAGCGCGGCGCAGCGATGGATCAGGTGATATTTTTCACCACTATAAATGAGCTGAGATATGTGTCAGATGTAACAGCAGGCAATAAAGAGCTGCCAACATGATCACAACCAGAACACTAAAGATATAAATGTTTGTTAACATTTCTTTTGGGTTATGCATGAAGGATTTTTGTATCTTTTACAGTTAGATAATGAGCATAAGGAAACGTACACTATGCACAATATGAAGCACACTATGAAGATGACTCCCTCTGTAGGCTAACATTCAACTGACAGCTTCTGTAGAAAAACCCTGTATTTATTTCAGGTATCATATAATGTACAGACTGTCCCCAACTAGTGCAATAAGAGTAAAATATTAGTGACATGTTATTCAGTGAGGGAAGAGAACGTTTTTGTTCAGCAGTATCAAAATAATAAGTGTTTAATGAATAAAATTGGCTAAAATTAGGATAGTGGCAAATAATGAAGATATAAAATGGGGCTGCAATCTGCACTTATTATTAATTAATTTTGATTATTCTTTGAAATATGTCAGACAATATTTTTAAACTATGGAAACTACTTATAATGAATGACATTTTAGTGATTGTGTAAAGATGTAAGCATTATTTTGTTCATAAATTAAGTAGTAAACAAAAATAAACCTTTTGGGGAAAAGCTGTATTACATTAATTATTTTTTTTATCCTTTTTTATATTTTACTACTTTATATTTTACATTACATTTTCATTTTATTCATACTTTTTACATTTTAGATTGCAATGTATTTATGAATTGAAATATTCAGTGAATAATTGTTTTAAGATGATACAGCATTTGGAATCAAACTATAGCTGAAACTGTCAATTAAAGGGGACCTATTGTGCTTCTTTTTACAAAATGGAAAATATATGCATAATTTAATAATTAAAATAATAATAAATAAAATAATTCTAAAATAAGTTTTTTTTTTTAACTTTTAGAAACTGCCCCCTATAGACTTTGAACCAAATTTGGTCATTTTGGTGACTGTTGCTTTAAATTCAAAAGAGATTGGGCTCTTTTCAAAAGGATGTGGAGCTTAATGCATGTGTGTCAACATACTGTAGTGGCAGATTCACAATGTATTACCTGAATCATAGGAGAAGAGTATTTCCTGCTTAAGATTTTTTGATAACACTTAGTAACACTTATTTCTTAAGTTTATTACATTTTCATTTGTTTCTTAGCATTACATGATATGTTTAAATGTTATTTTAAGACTTTCTATGTGTAAAAACATAATGTTTTTATGTTTTTTTTTAAGGACGCATCATGACCCCAAATGTCTTACTGGCACCTCCATGACCAGCTTCATTTTCACGTCGTCCCTCCCAGAATTACTCTATACAGTGGCCTCTACCAGCCAAAGCTCCAGCCTTCCATGGTCTGAAGCGACTGAGACCCCATGTGGTGTTATTACACCTAAAAGTATTCTCTTTACATAAATGTTGAAGATTGGGATTTTTTTTGTTTAGATCTGGGACCCTCTAAATCTAAAAAAAAAACTGGCCCACTGAAACTAGTATAGGTGTTTAACACCTTCATCAAGGAGATGGAGAAGAGCCTTGACATTAATGTTGATGTGCCAAACAGTGTCAATAACATGCAGACTTTATGATGCAAGCTGAGATTGCATCAGTCAATGGAGCTAGTGACGTCACTGTGAGGGGTGGTTATAAGGTGAGCCCATTAAAAAGCACTTCCTGCACCTCACATTGCATCTGCACTAGGTCTGCATCCAGACCCCTCTTCAATAGAAACTTTTGTCTTCTGCAGGAGCTCAAAAAGTGATAGAGGGAAATTGCTGCTGAAAGCTCTGCTATGCCTGATTTTTTTTTTTAAACTCTATGACTCGCTACATGCAATGCCTCGCCAGGACTACAGAGTTTAAGAAAAAAGTAGGAAAAGTATTCCTTACTTTCCATGGTCAAGTTGAGTCTCAGAAGGGATGCTGTATATCTACTACTCAGATTATGTTCACTGACAGCTTCCAAAAATACTAATCGCGCCTAGTATTGTTGCTGAATAAGTCCGCTTCTTGATGAAAACATTGTACCAATCTTGGCGTCTTCCTTCAGATTAATGTAAGTTGAATCATTCATTCATTTTCTGCCGCTTTTCCAGGGCCAGGTCGCGGGGGCAGTAGTCTTAGGAGAGAACCCCAGACTTCCCTCTCCCCAGATACTTCCTTCAGCTCCTCCGGGGGGATCCCGAGGCGTTCTCAGGCTAGCCGGGAGACATAGTCTCTCCAGAGTTTCCTGGGTCTTCCCCGAGGCCTCCTCCTGGTGGGACATGCCTGGAACACCTCCCTAGGTAGGCGTCCAGGAGGCATCTGAAACAGATGCCCGAGCCACCTCAGCTGACTTCTCTCGATGTGGAGGAGCAGCGGCTCTACTCCGAGCTCCTCCCGGGTGTCAGAGCTCCTCACCCTATCCATAAGAGTGCACCCTGCCACCCTGCGAAGGAAACTCATTTCGGCCGCTTGTATCCGAGATCTTGTCCTTTCAGTCATGACCCAAAGCTCATGACCATAGGTGAGAGTAGGAACGTAGATTGACCGATAAATCGAGAGCTTTGCCTTTCAACTCAGCTCGTTCTTCACCACAATGGACCGGTACATCGACCGCATTACTGCTGCCGCTGCACCAATCCGCCTGTCAATCTCACGTGAACAAAACCCCGAGATACTTAAACTCCTCCCCCTGGGGTAAGGACTTTCCTCCAACCTGTAGATGGTAAACCACCATGGACTTGGAGGTGGTGATTCTCATCCCAGCCGCGTCACACTCGGCAGCCAACCAACCCAGTGCATGCTGAAGGTCCATGTTCGATGAAGCCAGCAGAACAACATCGTCTGCGAATAACAGAGATGAAATCTTGTGTTGCCGAACCGGACCCCCTTCAGCCCAAGGCTGCGCCTTAAAATTCATAACAAACTATTTAGAAATTGTTTATTTAACAAGACAATAAGTTAACTAAGCTTAAATGTCTCTGCATGTGTTTAGATCTCAACCCAACTGAGATCATTTGGGATGTGCTGGAATGAGGCATTCATGACATGTATGTATAGCTGACAAACACTGTAAAAAAAATCGTGTTAATATTTATTTAAGGCAGTTCTAAAGGCAAAAAGGAGCAATGCAGTTCTAGAAGACAAGTGGCCCAAGGTGTTCAAGAAAATCCTTTACATCATATTATATATGATATGAAGAAGGGGGGTTGGGGTGGTTGGGAAGACCCACCCCTCACTGACAAAGGTCCAAAATTTGTCCCACACATGAGCTTATTCATCCTATATTGACTGCTATGCCATCATGGTGAAAATAACCCATTAAAAGATTTTAAGACCAAGCAGCTGAATGAGATCCAAATTTTTTTGTTCATTTTATTATTAATCACCTGTTTTTAAATGCTCTGTCTCTAAAAGTGAGGGATACTGTTCTCAGTTGACAGAAGTTGCACTGGTTTTATTTTCTATATTTTGTTTTGGTTAAATACACAGTTAAAACGTATTCTGGCTGCTTGTTCATACTACTTATTTAAAATGAGCTAAATCAACAAAAATCTTATGTTTTGTGGGGGACAACTTAACTGTTTTATGTTCAATCCATTAAATTTTAAATACAATTAAGTTAACTTAATCAACTCGTGTTGGGACAACTCGTGTTGGAGTTGTGTGGAACGCAGCATCATTCTTCATTACAGTGCTCAACACAACAAAATTTAATTTTGGGATGTTGTGGACTGTAATGGAGAATGATATTTATTAATAACTAATATTAATTTATGGCGTAAAGGAAATATTTCCCTTTTTACTTTGTATCATTAATGTACCAATAGGTTAAACAGAAATATGTAAACTCTAAAAAGGTGATAAATGTCACCTATATATATATATATATATATATATATGCAATATTCTCCTTTCTTTATTAAGTTGTTATTTCACACTGACTCCCAACCAAATGACCATAAAATGGACATTTTTTTTTTTTTTTTTTACATTTATGAACATAAAAATCCCCTTCAATAAACTCTTGACATCCTATTTATTTACATGGCCTAAACCCTACCGTGGCATAGTTAAAAACAATTAAGAATTAAAAGTTTGAACAATTTCTCAACCTCTTAAACACCTGTTTGACAACATGCGGAGCGTATAAAAGCAGCAGGAATTAGTTTGGTCTGCCATAAATGACAACAAGCTGGATTTGAATAGGGATGCTGCCAACACGTCATCGTGTGATGCTCAAACACATTCACACCTCATCTTCTGGTCCTCCAGCAGACTCTACCTTCTTGTCGCTCCAGCAGCCCTCGTTGTCTGCCTGAACTCTCACCCTGGTGGTCGGGAAATGTCAAAGAGAGGCCCGTGCCGCAGCAAGGGGGCGTTACGGGGGAAAAACAATTGCCTTTATTGTTATATTTTCACGCAATTCGCCTTTTCTTAGTCTCGCCGCTGGAATAAGCCTGAAAAACGAGCCGCGCGCGCGCCGAGCGACCGCCGGTGTAGCATCCGCCGTGGACTGCTGTTCGCATCCTTCATCTGTCTCGCCTCGTATTGCAATCATTGCCAAACATGTGAGTAGCAAAACCGCAGCCGAATTGTTCTGCAGTAACCCAAACGCGTTTCGATGCTGCTGCTGGTACATCGCGGGCTCGGTCGCAGCCTGCTCTCATTCATCTCATTAGTTTGCGTGAATGTGCTGTGCTTGATGCACAATAGTTACTAGCATCCAGCTGCAAACGGTTAGTGGTAGTGCAACAGCAGCGTCGATACAAAGGCTGGAGCATATAGCGAGCCATCATCTCCTTCAGTGCCGCAAGTGTTGCTTTTACGGGCTCCACTTGTGCTCCGCTTTACTGTCTTAGCATTAGAAAAGCTAGTCCTGCAGATTTTATGTAGCATTTCTTCGCTTTTTATGGCTGAATCTTGGCGGCAAGACGTTCAAGTTGCATCTGTTTGTCAGTCTGTCTATTCGGAAGACCTGCTGCTCGAGATTTGGATGGATGTAAGATTTATTGCGTAAAATACAGACAAAAGCACATTTTTTAGGTGTTTGATAGTGCTTGACAGACTTCAGAGATTCGGATGTGGATTTTAGGTTTACTGTACAAACTGCTATGTGGTACGATACATGATGTGGCCTGATGTTATGAACTGACATACTCGTGTTGATATTGAATTGAATAGCCAAAGGAGATCAAGTATTGAACGAATTATATTCTGTTTTGCATTGTAGCTTTATTTTTCTTGTCTACATGGCCCTGCTATGTTGTGTGTATCAGTTTGTGGGCTTGTTGAAAGCAACTTCATGAGTGGGCCTTCATGTGCATGACAAACTTTATGAATGCATTGCACATCAGTGGAAATTAAGCTGGCACACATTTAAAAATGTTATTTTGTGCCATTATTATTATTATTGCACAACTAATCATGTCTGTTTTTTTAATGAAACAATCATTCTTAATTTAATATTTAGCATTACTTTTTAGTTTATATTAATAATTGTATATTATCATTCTATTATGTATATATGAATTACATTAGGCTACTTGGGCATTCATAAACGTTTGAATCTGTCCATCTGTGATATTTGTAATTTAGAATTTGATTTAAGTTGACATTTTTGTTGAAATAGTTATTATAAAACCTGCTGTTTAAAGATTAGACAACACAATGATTTGTATGAAATAAACCAATCATATGCTTATCATTATTATTATTATTATTATTATATTTAATCTTTATAATTTTATGCTCATCCTTGTTATTAATTAAACATAGGATGTTCTTGTTTTTAAAAAAAGTGCTCAGAAAGCTAGATTAAAATGAGAAAAACATGTTAAAATGTGTGCATGTTTCAGATATTCGTTAATCATTGACTTGTGTTTAGTAATGTGGAGTAGTATTATCCAATGTGTTTCTGATGTGGTCTGTCATTTTCTTGAGAGAAATTTTAATTAACCTGTGACTAATTTTTCCGATGAAATGATCAGTGCTTTTAAATGTCAACTGCTTCGTATTTGTCTGTATTTTTTAACGTATAGACACAAACATTTACAGTTTTATATGGTTTCATTTAATTCAGTGTCTGTGTTTGAAACCTTCTTTCAGTATGCATGAATAACATGCTTTTTACTTATTTTAAAGCTACAGTCAGTATGTAACTTTTGCCACTCTGTCTGCTTGTAAATAAAGCTGCATGCATCTTGTGTAAGAGCATTTTAGCCAGAGCTACTTCTCTGTTTATAACAGATGTAAAATCAGTGAAACACATACAGTATGAACCACTTGTAGTGATTTAGGATAAAACAAAAACATGGTTTGATATAGGGTTGCATGGTTTAACAGTACTATGGTAGTATCGTGATACTATAGCTCCAAAATACTGGCGTTGCCACTGTAGTTTGTAAACATTAGTATCGCCATTAAAGGTCTATCTACAATAGATAATGTTGCATATGGAAAAGTCACTAAAATGCTCACACGCTTGTGCAACGATAGACCATTTTAATAGTCTGTTAAAGTTGCATGTTTTCTGATGTTTCTGACATTTCAAATGCACACCTGAATCGGTTCATTTCTGTTCCTGTCAATATGGTTTAGTAGCTGTAACATCCACAACAATCTCTTAAAGAACGACTCACAAAATAAAATTTTGAATTACTTTGGATTGTTACCTGATAAGACTAAAAAAGAAAAACAATAGATGAAAAACCCAAAATAGCAACAGGAAACATTGAAACAATTTTTGACCACCTCATATAGTCAAATATGTTTTTGGAAAAATGCTTTTTTGTAACAAATTTTATTTGATATAATTTGTATCTTTATTTTAATGCATTTTTTTGTTGGTCAGTTATCTATAAAATAAACAAAATTAATGAATAAATTTCAGGTGACGTGGCGTGCAAATAATGCTTTTTTTATATTAAGGGAATTCTGAATTAAATTCAAGTAGACCTATTATACTGTAAAATATTGAGTATTTCTGACCATTTTTCTTAATAATTTAAGCTATAAATTACAGTATCGCAGTACTATTTGTTATCGTGATGCTTCAGCTGGTATAGTATTGTAAAATGAATTATTTGTATCGACTAATTAAAAAGTTCACTTTAAGAACAGGCTTAATGTATTTCTTGAAAACCTATTAGAAATAAACCACAGATTTGTATCCATGAATGTTTCTAAAATCATGTATAGGAATCAAAAACGAAACAAAGCTGATGGTCATTCAGCACCTAAAAATAAAGTAATAATGACACCTGTTGTCACAGTAACACAGCAGTGTACAAATATGTTGGTCTGTCTTCTGTGCTTATAGAGGTGTTTGAGTAATTTAGGTTCAGATGGACTCAAAACATCCAAAATCTCCTAGCAATATTTCACTTGCTTTTTTAATTATGCAAATGCAAAATGTGAACTTCTTTTGTGGTTTACACACACAGAAGTCACATTTACGTTATTTTTATGGCATTACGTTAAACATGAATGAACCAGACCTAAAAGCAAATTTCCTTTGGATATTTAAAGACACTTGAAATATAAGTTATCAGTTATTAGACAATCTTCGAGTAGCTGAATCTGTGCTCATCTTACAGTCTGAAGGCGACACCATAAGCTCTTTTCTGCTTTTCACATGAGAATACGATTCCCAGTATAAAGTAATTACATATTATTTATCCCGTGGGAGTCAGAGAAGAGCAACTTCATTCTCTGTGTTTTAATCACTGTCGTTTTTGAAAAGGAGGACAGTATACTCAGAGGATTGTTCATCAACTCCTGTTCCCTTTCTCTCTTTTATAGGAGAAATGAAACGTTTGTGCACTGGGACTGGATGCTTTCACCAGCACAACCCACTTCCGCCATGACACCCAGCAGAGGATTCTGGGATTGACGCAAGCATCACTCCCACTGATGGCCTGGACCAGGTGAGCTGGTCTTTATGCACTATTTATAAGACAGTTATAAATGTCTTGCTTAATTAAGGCATAGTTGACATAACACTGGAATTTCTGTCATGATTTACTTGCCCATCACTTGTAAAAAAAAAAAAAAAACAATTGATCTGTTGACAGTTCTGTTGAGCACAAAAGAATACAGGAAAACAGATGGAAGTGGAACGCAAACCTTGGGAGAAACCATGGTCAGTCAGGGCGTCCAATTCTTTTGAGAATGATGAGAGTCCATCATGGAGAAGGTGCATGTGTAAGACACTGTTTACACGAGGGGTGCACAATCCTGTTCCTGGAGATCTACCTTACTGCAGATTTCAGTTGCTACCCAAATCAAACACACCTGCCTGTAATTATCAAGTGGTGTTCAGGGGTCCGTTCTTCATACCTCGCTTAAATGATCTAAGATTATTTGGCAGATGCTGGATCTTTTAATCTTGATAACTGACCTCTCTTTAATTTGGTTCTTCAAGCAAGTTCGCGAATCAGATTAGAATGTCTGGATGAACTGATCTGAGATCGCTGCGTGTGTTGTGAAGGACAGATCTGTCGATCCTCGAAATCATGATCAGCAATGCCATGATTGGCTGACGGCACAGCAGCGTAATGACATCATCTGATTAATATTCAATTATCCATGTGAGCATTATTACATCAAATTAGCAGTAAACCGTTTGTTAAATATGACACGCAATAACTTTCCACGTTTGTTGTGAACTGCAGGCTTTACACTTGTGTCAAGAGTATTCATCATGTATTTCAATGCATATCAATGTATTTAGTTCTACATTTAGAAAAGATTTTCTTTATTATAGTAGCCGGTTTATTAATCTTCTTTATGGAATAACTGGATGTTTACAAAAGCATTTTGATTTTGTGAAAGGCGTCTGCTACTTTTGTGAAGCATCAAATCACTGGCATATTAACTGCCAAAACATGTTTACGACTGCATTAATGTATTATTTATTGTTTTAAAAGTCACATATTCTGCATTTCTATGATCATACACAATTTGTACTAAAGCGATCTAAAAAGTTCATATCAATAAGTTTTCTCTTTGCACCACCAGGTGGCAGTCTTTGTACTTTTATTTCGGGGGTGCAGATTGCATAAGTTTTATTAATATATATAACTTTATTTATTTTATTAATAACTATAACTTTATATATATAGTTAAAATATATTTACTATTTTCCCAAGTGTATATAACTACTACTGTAAGAAAATATCAGAACTCGGTACATACTTTCTCTTTTATCTTTGCATGCACTGAGCCGATCTAATCCTGTTTATATGAATTGAACCTGCTTCCGATCAGGTTTGAGCTAGCAGAACTGTTGCTATGACAACAACTCTCGGATCAGCTTTGAAGAACGAAACGATCCTGGATCATGTCAAATCGTCAATATCCAAATCCAGCTAACTGAGTAATCCACGTACGAAGAACGGACCCCAGGTCCTAATTAATTGGTTTAGGTGTGTTTGATATGGGTAGCAACTGAAAATCAGCAGGAAGGTAGATCTCCAGGAACAGGATTGAGCACCCCTGGTTTACACTAATACGTTTTAGTTTTAAAATGGTGTTTTAGAATGAAAACGATGCACGTCCACACTGGCATTTCACCTAGCGTTTCTGAAAAGCTCTCCGTCCACACTACACCACTGTAAACACACATCAAGTGACCACGCACACACACTGGCATGCGCTACAGCTTATGACGTGTCTGAGGTACAGGCAGTCAGCGGGTACTTTGAGCACACCTCGCTAGATGAGAGCAACGCACATCGGACAGTTCATCAAGAATCTTCTGCTAGATTTCATCTCACTATAGTTGTTAAACGTGATATTTACTTCATCAGGTCTCTGTCTAATGGTCTTTTAAATCTATTACTTGGTTTTTAGGTAACGTGTTTTGGCTGAGCACAAGGATAAGTTAATATATTCATTTATGTAGCCGCTCACACTGATTCTGCACATTTGACTGATTGCTTGCCTTTATTTACTATATTGTATAAACTTTTTACTTTATACTTATAATACTTTATACTTTTATAATGACCATTATTGATTATTAAAACATAATTACTGAAAGAGACTGGGTTGTGTTTCACATTTTCCCTAAAAGTGAAAGGAAGCAGTGATGTTATAGTCTCTGTTTTGTTATAAATATCCATACAGTGAAGATGACGGTCATATAAATAAGTAGCTACATGACGCCTCAATATTTTTATGGTCTGTTAGGTTAATATCAAAATGAAAATAGGCAGTTCCTTACATCCTGTTTTCATTTTATTGTTGATAGTGAAACAACTAAGCCAGGGTGATGTGAATGAGGTTATAAAGTAGCCTACACTGTTCCCTTTGAATATTTATCTGACGTGACCTCGGCAGTTTGTTTGACTTGCATAGTCTGATCTTAAGGAAAGGGTCCAAGACTGAACTCTGTGCACTTAATATTGAAGAAAAAGCCCCAGGCGAATGTCTGCAGCCCCGCCTTTGTTTTCAGATGTCTCCGTTTTCCCCCATCCACACTGATACAGAGCAGCAACGAACCAACAAAAACCAAAATGGCGTTTTCTAAACGCTCTATTTCAGAGCTCAAAAACTCCAGGGTAGTGTGGACGGAAGGTGTAACCGTAGCAAAACATAATAGTGTAAACGGGGCCTATGTATGTCACTGGGCAAGTGTTTAGACTAGCTGACAGGATAATGCAGAGCCTTATCTGTCACTAAAGTCTTTGCAGAAATCAGTCTTGTACTCTTGATTCATCGATAACCATGACAACCATCTGCTCTGGATAAGTGCCGGATCCAAGATTATGTGAACCTCGGAATAAGGAGAAACTGACAGACTAACATAAGCATTTATGCTGTTCAAATTACAGAGTGTTCTTGGAAAGTGTTCAAGCTCAGTTTTAATTTCAGCATGTCATCCTGACCATATTTCATGCGTAATTCACCAATACATTTTAAGGAAAGCTGGAAGTCTGTAACCACTGACTCACAGTATTTGCTTTTACTATGAAAGTCAATGGTTATAGGTTTCCATCTTTCCTCAAAGTATATTTTTTTGTTCTTCAGCAGAAAAAAGAAACTCAAACTTTTTTTTTTTTTTATAAGTGAAGGGTGAGTAAATGATGACAGAATTTCCAGCTTTGGATAAACTATCCCTTCAATTCTCAACTGACCCCTGTTTGTCGCCCGTTTAAGGTTTCAGCTGTCCTGCTGAAGCTATGGGGAGCTGCTGGAGCTGTCTATACAGAGACGCCATCCAAGACAACCATCTTAACAAATTCAAGGTGAATTTAATCTGTTCACTCTTAGTATTTGTAAAAACAAACCTTTCTGTGGCATAAATGTAGGATCCTTGTTACCGGTTTTGTTTGACAGGTGACTAATGTGGACGATGAGGGAAATGAGTTGGGCTCAGGAACAATGGAGCTCACGCAGACTGAGCTCATTCTGCACACACGCAAACGGGACGCCATCCGGTGGCCGTACCTGTGCCTGCGTCGATACGGCTATGATTCCAACCTCTTCTCTTTCGAGAGCGGCCGCCGTTGTCAGACAGGACAAGGTGAGATGATACTTAATATCATATCTTGATGTTACTTCTGAATTGAATGTAAAACAAATACCAACATAGGCTCATTCTGAAAACGTAGCCCTATATACATTTCTGGAGATTGCAAATTATGTAGCCAGAAGTATATATAGCTGCATTTTGTTTTTAAAACAAACACTACAGGACAGTATGACGCCATTCCTTTTTGCGCATACCAGCTAACCCCTGACCTCTGTATGGACGGCTTTCCCCGCTGTTACCAGTTTGTCCAAATAGCTCGTCATGTATGTTGGCGGATTTGAGACCACGATGACGGGGTTCCAGTTCAGTAAGGAACGGTTCCACAAAGCATACAAGACAAAAACAAAAGCCAAAAAAATAAATAAACAAATAACAGCATGAGAATGTGGTAAAATCTAAAATATAGAAAAAGTCAGGTGAGGGCTTTTTCTTTTTCTGGATTGCTTTTAGGTATGTTGGGTTTAGGTAAGTGGGTGTGCGGGTCAATCTGTGCTTTTGAAAACACTATTGGTTGGGTTTAGGGAATAAGGACGGTACATTTTCAGAATGAGCCTGGGTTGACAAATGCTCATGTGAATGTTGTGCGTTTGCTCAGAGATGTTTGTCACAGTCAATATACACAGTACTCAGTGAATCCAAATCAACTTTTCATCAAAGTTGTCCAAAATCTGTTGATCAACACCCATTCTTGTCTTATGACGATTTTAAGAATCTTGTAGTTTTTAAATTTAGATGTTCACATCCAAAATTTGTAACAGTGTCTCCATATTTGGTTTAAAACCAACTGCTCAAAGACAGCATTGGAGTCTCTGATATTGAATAGTCATTGAGAAGTATAAGGGTTTACCAGTTGCGTTAAAAGGTCAGTTTATCCAAAAATAAAATTTCTGTTATTAATTACTCAATCCCGTGCCATTACAATTTCCAGACACCTACATTCATCTTCACAACACATTTTAAGGTAATTTAGATGTTTTGATGAAATCTGAATCTCTGACATCAACGGTCCTGAGGCATAAAAGGTCCAGAAAAGGAACCAAAAACATTCCATGTGACTAGTGGTTCAACTGGAGTTATATGAAGCTTCAAGAACACATTTGTGTTGCAAAAACCTAAAAAAAAGTCTTCTGCATCAACTTCTGCACATTTACTATGGTCAATACACACATATTTATAACACATAATTTATAAGAAGATATATAAATATAATATAAATTATTTTTTATATAATATAATATATTTATAAAAAAAAAATATATAACGTATCTGTTTAAAAAAATCTGTAAATTATAAATCTATTTAATTTAGAATTTGTTTATTATACGGTACCTACAAGAGCACTTTTTTGTGCAACATATTAATATACATACATATTTCAGTGTTCTGAGAATGAAAAAATAAATTGTTCATAATGCTTCATTGTAGTGTCTGTTGCTTCTCTTTATGTTCGACAGGGATCTTTGCATTCAAGTGCTCTCGTGCAGAAGAGATCTTCAACCTGCTGCAGGAGTTGATGCAGTGTAACAGCATCAACGTGGTGGAAGAGCCCATGATCATGACCCGACCCGGCCACGCACCAGAGATGGACATGCCTCGAACTCCACAGACACCCAATAGTGAGCTGAAATATCTACCAACATAAATGGATAGGGTTTCATTTCTACTAGGCATCTGACAGGATGAGATTTCCATGACAATTACAATATTCAGTATTACAATATAAGCTCCAAAAAGGGTTATATACACAGGTACAGTATCTTAACAAACATGAATACATTTTTGTGTATTAGTTTATTGTGCATAAATGTTTAAAGTAAGTACATGTTTCAAACCAATTCAACATCAAAAAGCCTTTAAGGTAAATTAGATAACACTTTACAATAAGGTCTCATTAGTAAGTGGTACCTAATGCATTAACTAACATTAACAGTGTTAGGCATTTTATTAGATATTAGCTAAGAAATGAACAATCAATTTATATTTATTAGTTTAAATGAACTACTGTTAACAAATTAAATCTTATTGTGAAGCATTAATGAACAACAGACCTATAAAGAATATGAAAACTCTTCCATTAATATCTCTGGCGTGTCATTGGCCAGATCAATTGCAATATATGGATGAGCAGGTCATTTTAATGTGCATGAGTGGTTCATTTTAATGTCTCATCAATGTATTTTCTTTTTTTTAGCAGCAGAAATACTGCACACATAAGCACATTAAACACCTAGTCATTCGTATTTACATATTTTCACTCGCCATTCGTTAAATGTCTCTCACAAATTTATTTTTGACTTTTAAGTGTTTCTGTAAATGTAGACAAATAACATCATATACACTCACGGCCACTTTATTAGGTATACCTGTCCAACTGCCTGTTAACTCAAATTTCTAATCAGGCAATCACATGGCAGCAACTCAATGCATTTAGGCATGTAGACCTGTTCAAGACGATCATCTGCAGTTAATCCAAGCTTTAGAATGGGAAAGAAAGGTGATTTAAGTGTCATTGAACGTGGCATGGTTGTTAGTGCCAGATGGGCTGGTGTATTTCAGAAACTGTTGATCTAGTGGGATTTTTACGCACAACCATCTCTAGAGTTTACAGAGTAAAAGAGAAAATATCCAGACTGGTTTGAGCTGATAAAAAGGAAACAGTAACTCAAATAACCACTTATTACAACCAAGGTATGCAGAAGAGCATCTCTGAACACACAACATGTCAAACCTTGTGGTGGAGGGGCTACAGCAGCAGAAGACCACACCGGGTGCACTCCTGACAGCTAGGAACAGGAAACTGAGGCTACAATTTTCACAAGCTCAACAAAATTGGACAATAGAAGATTGGAAAAATGTTGCAGAATTCAGAATTTGGCGCCAACAACATGAAAGCATGACTCCATCCTGCCTTGTATCAACGGTTCAGGCTGCTGGTGGTTGTGTAAGGGTGTGGGAGATATTTTCTTGGCACACTTTGGGCCCATTAGTACGAATTGGGCATTGTGTCAATGCAGCAGGCTACCTGATTATTGTTGCTGACCATGTCCATATCTTTATGACCACAGAGTATCCATCTTTTGATGGCTACTTCCAGCAGGATAACCCACCATGTCATAAAGTGCAAATCATCTCAGACTGGTTTCTTGAACATGACAGTGAGCTCACTGTACTCAATTGGCATCCACAGTCACCATTTCTAAATCCAATAGAGCACCTTTGGCATGTGGCGTAACGGGAGATTCACATCATGAATGTGCAGCAGACAAATCTGTAGCAACTGCGTGATGCTATCGTGTCAAAATGGACCGAAATCTCTGAGGAATATTTCCAGTACCTTGTTGAATCTATGCCACAAAGGATTAAGACAGTTCTGAAGGCAAAAAGGGGTCCAACCCATTACTTGTAAGGTGTAGCTAATTACGTAGCTGGTGAGTGTATAACTTTGTCTAAATATATCATAACCACAGATATTGTACGTATAGACTAAATACATTTTTTTTAAATTTGAAATGCGCAGGTTTGTCATCATCCGGATCAAAAATATTAATGACTCATCTTGCACATGACACACATATACAACAGCACGTATTAGCTGATGGGAGGATGACCTCATTGTCACCTGCTTATGTGTGTTGTGCTCTGGTCTGTTTGTGTAGCCCCTGCCTTCCCGATGCAGGGTTTTCCTAATGGATACCCAGGATACCCAATCAGTGCAGACTCATCGCAGCCCTCTCTCACCAACGACCACAGACACAGCCTCATGGGACTCGATGACCAAGTGAGATCACACACCTGCCTGTGCACACACACACACTCGCCTCCTGAAGTGAACCAAATGCTCAAGCAGGATTGTATTGGCAGACACAAAATATCAAAACAAATAAAATATTGACAGACAAATATACCTTTTTAGACAATTTTGCAATAGAAATGTTCTCCCAATAATGAGAAGTCTGTCATAAACATTCCTTTGTAATTTACTTTTTCATAAAATGCTAATTATAAAATATGAATTAAATATTAATGTGAACAATACAACGTGTATCCAATATATTAGAACATGCATTTTATACTGTTATATAAAATAATAACAATAAAAATAAATAGATTTAGATGTGTTTGATGCACATACAGTATTATGCTAGTGAAAAAATATTTATGTCCAGTAAATTTTCTGAACTCACCAGCCACTATGACTACACTGTGACCTGTAAACTATAATGAAGATGACCATGATAATAGCAAATAGTTATATGGAGCTCTTGCAGCTGTAATTCACTTTGTGTTGTTTACATTCAAAGGAGCCTCAACATTTTATCAAAGTCCTTTTAAGGCAAGTCATTTCACTCTGTGGCCATCTTTGAAACGCCTCTCAGGCATTCTGTTTGAATAGATTGAATTTCATATTAGGAATCACTAATAAAATTAAACAACAACTGTCTATTTAGTTTCATTTCTAAACATCCAAATCGTACAAAACCTGCAGAATCTCACGACTGGTCTAAGCCCCTTCTCCGGAGTATCGTCAGTCTATAGTGATTGATGATTGGCTCCTGAACTAGAAGGCAGGATTTATTCGCCATATAGTGATAGATGATTGGCTCCTGTACTAGAAGGCGGGGCTTTATTCACTATATTGTCTGTTACACTTTTCCTCATTCAAAAAGATCTGAGTGACATGTCTTGTGTATTCTGTAGTATTTGATTATATGTCTGGCTGTTCTGAAAGCTGCTGCTCAACCAGTCAGTGACTCTAGAGGCAGCGTCTAAACAAAAGGGATTTTAGACAGACTTTTCCTGCGACGGAATAATGATTAATAGATTAGTCAGTGCCAAAGCCATAACTGGAACTAGTCTAGTAAAAAAAACTTAATATCACAGTACAAAATTGTTACACCCAAATCAATATGATTAAATATAATTTTAATAAACAGGAAAAATGAAGAGAAACGAAACATTTAGTTGAAGATTTGTAGTTTGCAATTTGTTTTTGCAACAACTCATTTAAATTTTAATGTATTATCTTTCTATTCCTAAAGATGTTTTGTGACCAAACGTTTATCAAAACCATTTGATCTTTATTTATTTATTCCAAAATGGCACCCTACAGCCGCGTAACTTCTACCTTCCTGTTGCATGTCCAGAAGTTCTACATTTTGTGCGATGGTTAGCATCTTCTGCTGCCTTTTGGGTGCTCCCCCAGGTGCCTTTGACAGTGTAGAACCTTTCTTTGACATTGTGGGGAGAAAACTTGCAAACATACAGTACAGCACTTTAGAGTCACACTGCTAGCGATCGGAGATTTATGTACATTTGGCAAGCTGAAAGCATTCTGAACTGTACAGGAAACAAGGCACGGAGGAGATTGATTGGCAGTGGTCTACAGCCAATCAGGGCGCAAAACAAAATCCATTGTATAAAAAAGGATTTCAAATTACACAAACAAATGATCGAAACTGCGAGCCTGCGAATAGTGATGGACTACTGTTATACTGTTCACATCAATGTGCATTAAATTTATATGCATCAAATATTATTGACTGTATCAAAGTTTCTTTAAGCCAAGTCATTTCACTCATTGGCCATCTTTGAAACACCTCTCAGGCTGTATGCTCGGGCATTCTGTTTGAATAAGGAAACATCAAATTCTCCAAAATTGCTTGCCAAGCTTATAATTGAATTTCATATTAGGAATCATTTATAAAAATAAACAATAACTGTCTTATTAGTTTCATTTCTAAACATCCAAATCACATAAAATCAGCAGAAACTCACGTCTGGTCCGAGCCCCTCCCCCACACTATCATCAGTCTTTAAAAATCGATGACTGGCTCTTGTACTAGTAGGCGGAGCTTCTTTTTTTTTACCATAAAGCGATCGATGATTGGCTCCTGTACTAGTAGGCGGAGTTTTTCATCACATAGCGATCGATGATTGGCAACAGTACTAGTAGGCGGAGCTATATTCACCATATTATTCACATATAAAAAGAATGACATGTCTTGTGTATTCTATAATCTTTGGTATATTCACTGAGAAATGGACATAGAGAAAATGAGCATTGGCAGTATGATCTAATAAATGGCATGTGACGCATTCGGAGGTTACCTGAGAAGATTACTGTATCACATCTTGTAAGCAGAGGCGCAGTAGAATACCTTTAAAGCTAAAGACTTGTATCATGACTCAACACTAGAATGCGAAGACTAACAGTTACCTCTGCTTTTTTTGCCAGACCCATACATACGTGAATACGGTCGGGATGGAAACTGACCTGTCAAGCCGCCACTGTGTCCACTCCCTGCCCGAAGTGCGGCCTGCCACCTACCCAGAAGCCACAACCACCACCACCACCATACGTGGGGGCCCGATCCCAGGCCAGCCCGGCATGCACTGCTGCCCGCTGGACGACCCTCACAAAGACCCTCAGGTCTTCCTCCAGCCCGGAGCCCAGGAGGTGAAGTTCATGCTGGGCCCGACCCCAGCACAGCGCCACCTAATGGAAAGAGACAGAGAGCGCCACGTCCCTCACTCGCTCCGAGCGCCAGACGGCAGCTCTGAAACCGAAGGGGAGGAGACTCCTCCTGTACACATGTGCAACACACACTCCTACCACCATTGCCATCACCTGATGCACAGACACCCCAGCATGGAGCCGTGTCCGGAGAGCCAGCTGACCTATGAGAACATCAACGGACTCAGAGGGGCACGGAGGCAAAGGCTCAGTCCTAGCACCGTGTCTCAGTCTCAGTCTTTGGGCTCCAGTAGCAGCAGCAGCACCACGGGCGACTCACGCACACACACGCATCCACACTCACTCCCACTCACACACACACACACTTCCTCACTGCCTCCGCAGGGATACGGCTGTGACCGAGGAATGGTGGCCGCCGGTCATCGGCGCACAGCATTGCTCAACTACGAAAACCTTCCGTCGCTCCCTCCAGTTTGGGAATACCGTGCACTCCAGCGGGAGGAAGAAGAGGATCAGGATGAGGACGAGGATGAGGACGAATATGAGGAGGAAGAGGAAGAAGAGTATGATGAGTATGAGTATTCAGAAGGGCCCGCTACCCCTAACGGATATCATCAGGAGAGCGGCGGTGGCGGGATTCATCGAGACGCTCTGCAGAACTACGTCAACACTGAACAGGTGTGTTAATGACAGTACAGGCTAATGCATGGAGTCCGTTTGATAAATCTAAGTCAGTGTGTAAAATAGTGATTTCAGGAGTGAATTACTTAAATTTTATACATGGTAGGTTAAATTTAATTAGTGTATTTTTATTGTAAATATTTTGATGTAGTAATAATAATAATAATATATAGAAAAAAGACAACTCATTTTCTTGAGAGAATATTTATGTTATGCTTTTATCAAAAATATGTATCATGGTAATCTTCAAGAGTTTCAGCTCTATTAATTAATTCAGGGGTTCCCAAACTTTCCAAATTGCAACCCCCAAAATAACAATTTCAGTGACTCTTATTAAACAATTATTACAGTGCATGAATAGTAAGTGAAATTAAACATTTTTATGTTTAAAGATACAAAAATAATTGGAATTCCTAGGGTTAATATAAACATATATACATAAATATATGTGTGTATATATATATATATATATATATATATATATATATATATATATATATATATATATATATATATATATATATATATATATAAAATATTTCCCAAGTGATGTGTAATTGAGCAAGGACTTTTTCTTTTCTTTTTTTTTTGTAATATTTTGTTTTATTTAACATTTTTATGATATTTAGAAAAATAGTACAAAACCAGTAAAAGGAAGAAAAAAATAGTACAGAATAATTGACATTAAACCCCCCAAAAACGAAAAAAGAAGGATCGTCTCAGTTACCAAATATAAATACATGTATATACATAAGTAGCATAAACATATAAAGAAAAGATGACAATATTCACATTTTTACAAAGCTAGTATCATTATTTTATAGGCTAGAGATGAAAATTTACAAACTTAAAATGCTAAATTCCCAAGAGTTTTAAGATAGGTCCCCATGTGGTTTCAGCTTTTTTCTGTAAAGTTTCAAGACGTAGTTGTTCCATTTGAATGAAATAAAGCAGCTCGTTCAATTATCTCTTATAACAGGGAACCTTTGGAGATTTCCAATTAAGTAAGATCATCTTTTTAGCTGTAATCTTGCCAACCATCAGGGCTTGCTGTTGGGTTAATGGAAAGATGTCCATTATATAAGAATATCCAAAAAGAGCCAAATTGTAGTCAGGTTGGATATTGGTCCCACAAGCACTGGAAAACAATTTAAAAATGCTGGACCAAAACTCATAAAGAACAGGACAAAATCCAAATAAATGTGCCAAAGTCCCTTTTGCCCCACTACATCTGCCAAATTTAGGAGATACAAAGGGAAATATCTACTTAATCTAGTTTTTCTTCTTCTTTGAAGTTCAGTATTATTAGATCCTTAACACCTTTTTTGCTACAGGACAAACTACTGTTGTCCAATTACTTGCCAAATAACCCAAACTTGCCTAGTTCACATCATTAACCTATTAAATCCTATTAATTGCACTTTAGGTCATTGGTCAAAGCATGTGGGAACCATGTGATTAGTAAATACTAACACAGAAATGTACGCAATCTCCAACAGCTACCACCTCCTACACGTCTCCGTCATGCTTGCCCTCCTCACCCTCACCCACCTGAGAGGGCCAACCGAGTTTTCAACTTTGACTTCAGACGTCAGCGAGCAGGACGTGGCAGCAGCATCTGCGAGCAGCACAGTCGTCACCCGCCTCCACCTCCCTCTCGACAGCTCAACTACATCCAGGTGGACCTGGAGGGGGAACCCTCCGGATGTTCGGGACACAGCGGCGGCGCTCCGGTACCACAGAGACCTCCACCCCTCAAACGGGGCATGGCAGCCGCCGCAGCGCCTCCATCATCCCGCAGAGGAGAGTGTTACGCAGTGATTGACCTAAAGAAAACTGCAGCCATGTCCAACCTCCAGAAGGCTCTCCCTCGGGATGACGGCACCTCGCGGAAAACACGCCACAACAGCACCGACTTGCCTCTGTGAGAGGGAAAAACAGGGACAGAGAGAGCTACAGGTACGCCAGGAATTAAAAAAAAAAATGAGGGAAAATATGTTCACGAAAGAGAGTTCTGGTGGTGTTTTCCTCCCACCATTATAGTGAAGCCTCTATTTTCTCATTTTCTACACTCATACCAACTGCTGCTTGATGAAATAGTAACTCGATTGATCTGAGCACTGAGCATTTTATTTTATTTTTTCTCACTTTTTGCGTGGGAAGGTCGGGAGATAATAGTTAAGTACTTATTATCAACATGGTTTTTGGCTGCTGACTGGGATTAGGGCCAAAGAATTGGGTTCGGGACAAAAATACTTCATTCAGGAAACAATCAACAGTGTCTTATGCTTGATTTTAGATTTGATTCCTTTATGGTTTGTTGATTATTTAAAGGGATAGTTCACTCGAAAATAAAAATAGCAATCTGCAAGATGATGGAAAACAAAATCTATTTTGAATGAAGAGCATGAGTAGAGGCTTTTTAGATTTAGGCTGTTCCTTTACATTCCAGGATATCAGCATAATATTTCGACACTTGAGCAGAACAGACTTGAATCCACCATAAGTGTTTCATAATTATCAAAAGTTTTCATCTAACTGAAGACAAAGTCCTCAACGTGATGAAGAAGCTGCAGCGGTTTCTCTCATGTTGTTAGTTTGAGTTTTCATATGTAGCTATGTAGAGGCTGCGATAAAGGTGAAGAGAGCTGTGCTTGTTCAGTTTTTGAATGCCTCTTGATTCTCCAACGCTCAGGAATTGATTCGGTCAATTCATTTTGCACTTACCTTTCTCTAATTGTAACTGAGCCTCCCCTAATTTCATGATTCCCATATAAAGCATGGCAAAGTTTACATTATTAAAAGTAATTCAAAATGCCATCCATAACATCTTTATGGGTTTGCGGTGGTTTTTGGATGAATAATTTGATGTTTTTGAATCTAAGAACAAGACTTTGACCCAGACTAAGTATTATTCTGAAATGTGCTTATTTTGTTCAGTATCTGCTCAAGCACCATTGCCTTTTTTTGCTTATTCCATCTCTTTTCAGTTATAATTTCCCATCGTCCCAAAAAATTGAGTACTAAAGGGTCAAAAAGGAAAGAAGTTTAAAACTCTTTCATTGACATAAATATCAATTATTTTCATTGAAAAAATATAAACAATTTATTTGTAGGCTGTTCAAGTGGTACGTAAATAAAAATATGTTATTCTCACATCCCTAAAGTCATAATATACCCGAGAGTGACAATTCTCTGTGAATCCAAGAGTGTATTTATGTACATCTATGTTTTGTAAAGCTTCGTAAAGCACCATATGCATATTATTCAGAGGTGAGAATGTTAATTATTTTTTTATATCGTGAAAAAAATCATGCCAGGAATCATGAGGCAAAACATATTTATATTTAATTTAGAATTATTTATTTATGTAGCTGTCTGTCTGTTACTTAATTTATTTATTGTTTTGTATTCCAATCATTTGTAGTAGATAATATGTCGTCACTTGTTTTAGAGATACCAAAGGTGAGACCACAGAATCTACCTTGGTATAATTTATCGTCTTTTTTGAACTGCGGTTCATGTTGAATAATAACTGTATTTAAACATATTGTGCCAAAAATTATAATGATATTGAACTATGTGCCATTGGTAAATGTTGAATTTTAGGGCTAACAATCAGCAAAATGTAAAACACACACATAAATGCAGCTGTTCTTTACAATTTCATCACAATCGGTTCAGGGCTTGAAAATATTTTGTCTACAAGTACACAGAAAACCAGACAAGTCAATGCATTACCAGTGAAATCCCACTGTGTTTAGTTCAATTAGTTATTTTGTTAGTTGTCTTCATCAGAATTTCATAAATCAGCTATTTTTATAACACAGATAGTGTTCTAAAATGATTATACATCTATTTTGTTTTTCAGTCTTAACGTTTGCGTCTTACGCACGTTAACACAGCCCTAAAAATGAATTTATTTCTCAGCAATGATACTGATGTAGCTATATTAAGTTTCTTAAGTTGTTTAAAATTTTGCTAGGAACCTCAACTCTTATGAAAATTTACCATGGTTTTATTATAGTAAAGTGTGGTCACTATGTTTTTGTTGCCATTCATGTGACCATTTGGTATTTGCATGCAAATACTATTGTTAAACTTTTCCAGCAGGCACAAGACACTAACATGATGTCAAATTCACGTTGTACCCCAACGTCGTGGGTTGTTTTTTTTATTTTATTCGGAAATGAAAATCCAGTTGACGTCAGAACCCAACATCAGGCCGATGTCAATGTCCAACGTTAGACAGAGGCTGCAACCTAAAACCAACAAAATATCAACGTCTAATGATGCCACAGCTTGACATTGTGTGGATGTTACCACTATGACATCTATTAGATGTTGGATTTTGGTTGTCATACCTGACGAATATTGGATTTTGGACATTGGATTTTGGTCACTTTCCAACACAACCTAAAATCAACAAAATGTTAACGTCATTTCATTTAGTTATTGGACGTCAAAATAACATTGTCCTTAGATGCTGGTGACCTAAATCTAACCTTATATTTACGTCTTATGATGTTGTGTGTCTGTTGGGATGGTTTGTGTTGCTTGATTGATTTGCAGTGACCATGGTTTAACTACAGTAACCATGTTTTTTAGCTTTATTTATATTAAAACGATGGTTAATTCTCAGGGAAGAGCTGAGGTTTTTTATCTTGCTGGTTTTTACTAAATCTCACAGGCAGCCATATTGTTCTGAGCGCAGGGCTTTGTGAGTCTGAACAAAAAGTTGATCATAACTAGCATGTAACGCAAGATACGCTATACATAGTATTTTAATTCCAAGCATAGATCATTAAAAGAAATCACAGTAGATTTTAATGTTCTTCAAGAAGCCATATTTGAAAGAAAATATTCAAATAAACATCTAGATTTATATATGAAAAAGTGTAGAATAATAGATGTGATTAACTTTTATTTGTCACCAATATTTTTAAAATTTAAAACTCTAAAAAAAAAAGACTACATTTCGAGAGCCTTGCAGTTCAACACAGTATCGCTGCCAAATAGTAAGTCCAAATAAAATCAACATATTACACTCACAATCACAATTACACATGCTTATTGTACTTTAAAGAATGCGATGATGAACTATTTGGACACTTTTCGACACTTTTCAGAGGATCGATCTAGTTTTTAACATCTATATTTTGGTATTGTGGTATGATAAACATTTTGCAATAACAGCTAATGGAGTCATATCAGAATTTGTTGAGTTGTTCAAGAACATTTTCTGTGATACGAGTCGTGTGTGCATTCAGAAAGGACTGGATCAGTCTTTCTCAGGCCTCATCTTGATAAACATGCGCTATATGTGTATTTAAACCAGGCTTGAGGAAAAAAAAATAATAATCTAGTCATCTTGTCTGTAGGTGTGGGATCATAGAGAACTTGATTGTGCCATAAGTGATTTTTCGTCCACTTGTTTTTAAATAACGTGTAGCTATAGAGGTATTTTAAAGTAGCACATACTAACTAGAGTCCTGTGTTGATCACGTGGGGCCGATTTGAAGTGTAATTGCCAACGCAATCTCACAATTCGTAACTTTTATAATTTAGTGGCTGGTTTGTACGATCTCATTCGTACATTTTAGCACGATTTGCTCATCCCCCAATGGGGTTTTTAAAAATTTTACGTTTTCATGTGAATTAAATCGTATAGATTAATATTTCAGACAATTCGTATAACAGCTTTGTGAGGTCGGACTGTGTTTGTTTTGTTGGTTGGTTTGTTTTATGTTTTTATACCTTTCAATCACATTATTTAGTTTCATTAATATTCAGGAGTTAGACCCAGGTTAACTGCACTGAAATTGTAATATGGGATGAGCGATCATCTGAAAGTACTGTAAAAAAAATCCCTCTGTGAAATCAAACGTGACCAAGAAATAGAATATCTGACTGTATGGAGCCAGATCAGTCTCAAAACATAATACATTTATAAAATAAAATTCATACATGCACAGGACAATTCACATTTACAAAAAACTATTTGTAAGGTCTACAAAACTACACAAAACACAGTTAATACACAAAACCAATTCGTAAATCTAAAACACGATTTCATAAATATACAAATCTAATTCGCAAAATCCAAACGCAAATCATAAATACACGCATCCAATTTGGAAATTCAAAACGCAAGTGATAAACTAGGGATGCAACGATAATAAATTATAGGTGTGCGATTTATAGTCTAAGAAATAATCACGGTTTCATCGTTATCACGATTATTTGCATTCATTGATTTTAAAACCCCACTAGTTTAAAACTAAAATTATTTTAAATTTGGTTTTGTAGTTCGGGCCTACAGTAAATACATATTTGTTGCTGTTTTAAAAGTTAATTTGATTGACTATATAAAAGTCAGTGGATATTACTGATGCATTTATTGGGTAAAATTGCTTCAATGTGTTTTTGGTCATTATCAATGCATTGTCACTTTTAATTGAGCGTGAGCAGCGCAGCAAAATTACATCCAGTGCCAAAACTATCACGACACTGCTGCTTCAGTGATGCTCACGCCTCACGCTGACATGCTGCTTCTGTGTGCAGTATGAAATCTAATCTGTTAACTTGAGGCTTTCAGCACTCTCTTTAAAAACACTCGATTGATCTCGTCTGGCGGATCAACACTCGCCACATGATCGCTCTCATCATTGCCATTATTTGTAAGTGGGTTAAAGTGGGTTTGCAAACCTGTGTACTTTTCATTGCTTCTTCCTCCAACTTTAGCCGTATGCAGTTCCCCCGGTCACAAAAGCCCCGTCTTCTCAACTAGGTGTGCCTGAAAAGCATGAACGCGTTTCGTTGCGTACACATGGCTCCATTGGAAATAACAAACTTGAACAAGCTTGCCTTTATAGCCTCAGTCATAGTCAGTCCAGTGTGCTAGATTATTAGTCTTGTTGTACAAACTAGCTCACTGTTGGCATAACTTTGTTTAGTTTTGTTCCATGCAACTTTCTGCAGTTTTGTTCCATGCAAAAACACGGTGTTGAGAAGCCTTTACGATTAATTAACCGTGACAAAGTAATTCGCGGTTAATAGTGAAAGCGGTTGCATCACTATCATAAACACACAAATCCAATTCGGAAATTCAGAACGCAAATCATAAACACACAAATCCAATGTAGAAATTCAAAACTCAATTTATAAATACACATATCAAATTTGTACATTTAAAACGTGATTCAAATATACACAAATCCAATTCATAAATTAAAAAACACAAATCATAAATACACATCTAATTTGTAAATTCGAAATGCCATTCATTAATACACAAATCCAATTATTTGCCAAAAATATTTGTTGTATATGTAGTTGTATTTATGAATTGTTTTTTGAATTTACAAATTGGATTTTGTAAAGGTGAATTGTGCTGTGCATATTTGAGTTTTATTTTGTAAATATATTATTTTGAGACTGATCTGGCTCTATAATAAATGTGCTTATTGACCTTAAATGGGAACTAGTTTAACCTCTCATTTTTTTGTTTTCATGTAAGCAACATTAAACCTCTTAGTTCTGGAGCGATTCGAATTCAGTTTCTCATGTAAATCTGGGATGGTTTTCCACTTGAAGAAGGTTTCGTAGTGACCTTATCAAATGACCTGTCCTATTGGCGGTAGACTTACATTGTCATAATAAAGCTTAGACAAAGCTCAATGACTGTGATGTACTGTACATTAATGTGAATGTGTCTCAAATGTGTCAAGAGAATAAGAGAAGCCGGCCGTGCATGGACTCTTTACCCAGAGACTGCATTTCTTGAGCTCCTCAAAACTGTCTCGCTCTCAAACCGTCTTACTCTCTGTATGAATGTACCACACAGAGATGGACTTGTAAAATGCTCCAATGAGGTGATTTACACTCAATGTTTCTATCCTCCCTGATGAAAAAAAAAAGATGTGTTAATGTTCAAGTTTCGTCTCAAGAATTCCGATTTCGATTCGATTTTTTTGATTCCGTTTCTTTATATACAGTATTTACATTTTCTTGTATGTAATTCTGTGTATGTACATAACATATATGGGTATGCAGTTGCAGTCAGCTTCTCCTGTGTTTGTTTGTGTTGGCGAAACAGACACTATACTTTTTGCCACAACCCATTTGTAGAAAGAGCAACGCCTCGACGGTCATTCCATTAGATGGACATTGCAGTCTCTATAAAACAGATGAACAGAAATCTCCTGTAGTCTGTTGATGTTGCGGTCGCAACCCTTCCCTGTTCTTACAATGCAAAGCAGGCATGCCCCATGTTGAATGTTATTTTCAGTCATATAAACTTTTGAAGAGAAAGGCTTGTATAATAAAATGAATGTGATTAAATGTAATGTCAACATTAAAACTGGAAATGTCATCAAGCGTTTGCTTTGGTGCGTGTTTGAATGGCTGAGAACAAGATTGAGGAGGCTTGAAAGAAGTGAACATTGTGTACTGTACATTTCCTTTGGCAGCTGTCTACTTAGTCCACTAGATGGTAGCAAAGCATACGCTTGTAAAAAAAAGATCTTTTGGAGATTCTGTCTTGCACAGCATTCTTCATTAAGTTAAGATTAATATGCTTATTTGCAAAATAATAAAAAATATGTAAACAAAAAAAAACTGTGAAACAGCATAAATTCTGTATTAGGAAATATGAACTTATCAGAAATAAATCTTAATGCATAAAGTTTTTATAAAGTATTTGATTGTTTTAGTATTAAATGTACAAATCTTTAGAAAAAAGCTCTATTTTCATGGTATAATATTGAAAGACCAGAGAAAACCTGTGCAGTAAGATTGGAAGTGGACAAAAGATTGTTTATGTTTAGCATTTGTTTGGCATGTTTTTGAACTGGAATGTGTCTCTCTTGTTTACCTGTGATCCGAACAAGCAAAATTATTCCCAGCAGCTTCATTCAGGTTAAATTCGCTGACTTCGTTTGTCTCATCTTTTGGCCTTTCTCATATAATCTTCATAAACTAGCCAATGACAAGAAATAATATAAGTCGCGCCTCCAAACACATGAAAACGAAACTAACAAGCCTGATTTAAAAATGTAAGGAGTAGAAAGTAAAAACTTGTCAAAAAAATAAGTAGTGGAGTAAAGTACTAATACCAGAAAAATCTACTTAAAGGGATGGTCCACTACGATATCATATTTTTAAACTTTAGTTGGTGTGTAATAGCTGTGTGAACATAAACAGCATCTCTGAGTGTAAAAAGCCCAAAGTTCAATGCAAAGGGAAACCTTGGTTTTTACAGTGTTAGGTTTGCAAAGCCTACACTGAACGAATTTTGGGGACCACAAAAAAAATACTACTGGGCCTTGTGAGATCACAAATGTACTTTTACCGC